CACCAAGAGGAAGAAGAAGAAGACCAGCAAGATTGTCTTCTTTCTGATCCACCATGATTTCTATGAACTCTGATGATAAAATCTAAAAACCCTTAAAACCCTTGATTTCCCAGATTAAATTGGAAAGAATCTTTGTAATTTATGGAAAACCCCATCACTCAAAATCAAATCTTGTTTTTTGTTTGTTTACCTTCAATACGATCAAAAAGGGAAACTTTCTTTTTGTGGTTTTATATGATTCCTTACAAGATAAAAAGGTTCTCTCTCCCTCTACGACTTTCTGTCAATTAGTTTTCCTGTGCACTTGCAGAATCAAAACCATTGTTGGTCACCAATCATTTTCTTATCTCTCTCTAACTCTTCCATTTTTTGTTGTTGTTCTTTCCTAGATTTAGAGAGAGAAAGGTGGGAAAGTCTAAAATAATACGAAGCCAACTGGATTAATATAATATTTGATGTTGTAATTTCTTACAGAACTGTTCTGGACAGAGAGAGCTTCATAGTGGTCAAGAACAGCGGCCGATTCAATCAAAAAGAGTGTAACAAGTAAAAAAGCGAGAGATGGGATCTTTCGTTATATACGCGCACGTTCCCTAAGATTTATGGTTCGATTTAGGAGAGAGTCCCACTAAATTGAAAGAGAAGCTTTGATATGACACCGTTTTGAATAGTTTGACTCTTAACGATCCCGCCCAAGACAGCTTACCGAACTCTTAAATGTATTTTATTAAAACAGAAGCACATTTAATGCTTGCATCCAAACATTCCTAAAGTTTTTTGTTATAATATTTTATTTTATTTTTATATTTAATTTCCGAAAATTAGTTATTAATTTAGATATTTTTAGATTTCCTAAAATCTAGGTTATCTTTAATTTAAATTTCAAATTATTAGAAATTTAATTAAATTTAGTTACAAAAATTTGCATTCAATTTAATTTAAATTTAAAAAATTCAAAAAAATTATAATTAAATTATACTACGAAAATTTAGATAATAATTTTAATACTTTAAAATTTCTTAAATATAGGAGAGATTTAATTTAAAATTTAAAATTTAAATAATATTTTTATAAAAATATATAGTAAATAATTATTTTATCGTATTTTATCATAATCAATTGGTCTAAAATATCAAATATTTGAAATTAATAAATATTTATATTATACAATAATATGATCGAGCTGATTAGAGTTATATATATATATTTAAGGTCCATGAGTTAATTTATTAAAACATGTAAGATATTAAGATGATTTGAAATAATTAAACTAACAGGTTAGCCATTTATATATATATACATTTTTAATAGCACAAATAGTAAATAAATATCTTATTATATTTTTTCATAATCAATTGGTCCAGTAAATATTTATAGGGTTATACAATTATAATTATAGTCTTATACGGGTTAGTTTGTCAAAACATGTAAGATATTAAAAATGATTTAAGACAACTAAACGGATGGATTAGCAAATTCATACATATATAGATTTTTTATGTGTAAATCTAAATTCACATAATAACAAAGTTTATAATTAACATTAGATCAATGTATACTTAATTAACGCATACTCTTATTCTACTAATATACAAATTTTACTGTTTAAAATTAAAATATGATAACAATTTTTTGATTTAAAAAATAAATAACAAAAACAAATTATATCTAAACAAAAAAGATAAATGCAACTTATATTAGAAATAAAAAATAAAACATTCTCGTGCGGACACACGGGGTTAAAATCTAGTCAACATTTAAAATATATACTTCATTTTCTGCGGGTGTGTATATCCATTATTTTAGTAATGTTTAAATCAATGTTAGAATTAACATCATAATTGATTCAATTCTATATATTTAATTACACTTTTTGCTCGTAGATAAGTAACTGTGGCTCCAAATCAGGAAGAAGTCTACGATCAGTTTTCAAAATACGTGCATATATTGCCTTTTTGTTTGTTTGTTTTTTCTTCTTTCTCTTCTACACGCCTTTGATAACATTAGTCAGCTTTTTATCAAAAAAATAATCAAAATCAATATATTAAACCATTTGATTGACTTTGTATGGTTGTAATGTTGTATCTACATATATGATGACTAAAACGTTATGTCGGTTTTAAGAAACTGTTATTGTCTTATGACCATCTTATAGAGAATTAACTTCCAATTGTTCATCGCGAGTGAATGGACAATTTGATATGTTTACATAACTGCAAATCTAAATCTTAATTTGAATGTCACATAACGTAACTAATAGTATAATTTTTTAGCAACGCTAGCTTGCACTATGGTATGATAATATAACTGATAAGAAATCTACGCCAGCTAGATAAGCTTGACTTCACATAAAAATATATAAAAATAAATATTCTTTTGATGTAAGCTTTGTTTTGGGCTTTTGGCCAAACAAGAAAAAAGAAATCGTAGGTTCAAATTTGAGACAAAAAATGATTTTCAATGTTAACTACAGAAAAAGTGCAACATTACGAGGAGTTTGAAAATATTTAATTTATAATGGTTGTACTAAGTAATGGAATATATGTACGTAGTTTGTGACGTCGTGTATCGGACCAGAGTGGGTGAGTTATAAACATTGAATACTACTGTATAATCATATATTCATGTTAGGACCGCTATAAAAACATAAATTCAAATACTTTCAATATGTAAACTGGTTAATTAATCTAGTTATGTATGACCGCTAGCCAAAGATGCCTTGAGATTTATTCCTTATAGGTTCGCATAAAATATATATAGTATCACTAACATGCATGAAATCAACAACATTTCTGTCATCACTTGCACAGTTTGATGTAGAATAAAATACTGCAAAAACATTTACGCAATTTTTCCCAAATATAAAAGACCCCAAAGATATTCGACAATTATTATTCCGATTCCATAACTGTAAGTCTCTACAAACAAGAGGGTTAACTTTCAAGCTTGTGGCAGCATTGACAAGCCCCATTTGTCCCTACATCCATATTCAGGCTTGAAGCTGCAACATAAAATGATATATACATAGATATACCAAACAATTATAGAGTCAGGAAAAATACAAAAAATTATCATGAGAACTAAAATATAGCATGACCAAGATATTAGTTACACTATATGTTGGGTTTGGTTTAGCGAACAAAATCAGCAAATCCACATTTTGATTCATGTCATGAGATTCATATATAACCAAAAGGTAATTTGAACATCAAAAAGTTTAAATAAAGAAAGCATACCTTTTGCAATCCGTCTCTTGTCTCATCAGACCGTTACGGTTACACATTTTACAATCTTGGATGAAACGTCTATACTAAGCACACGATCAGACGACAAAATCTTCCCCCAAACCTCTCCTCCTTCGCGAGTTTCCAATTCAATCTCCGTACAACTTATCTCCGTCACCCCTTTGGTACCAACGTTAATCAACACCGCGAGTTTACCGCCATAAGTCGCCAGTCTAGACCAAGAACGAATCTCATGTAGATCTTCGACACCTTTCAAAACTCTCCAAACCTTTGTATTCGGATCGTACAGTTTTATCTGATTCTTGTCCCCAAAAGTGTACAAGATGTTGTCGAGTACGCAAGAACCAACCCTCCACCCTTCGTTCAACACCGTTTCAACCTCCCATTTATTTTCTTTAGGATCATAGACAAAGCTATTGCTATTATCCATAACGTAAATCTTCTCGTCCATCACAAAACTCTTGATCGTTTTCTCATTGACCTCCTCGTTACAAGGACCAGGAACACTCTCCCAAGTTTTCTTCTCGAGATCGAACATTTCGATCCAATCAACTGAACGCGCCTTGCACCCTCCGATCACATATACCTTCCCGTCTATAACACCCGTGGCTGCACAGCCACGTGCCACACGCATGCTTGGGAGTACATGACACGTGTGAAACCGACAATCCAGCACAGAGACATTAGAAGTAAGCTCTCCATCGATGCATCCACCGAAGACGTAAATTTCATAACCAATAGCGATCACGGAAGATCCCCAATATGGAAGAGAAGGGAAAGAAGGAATGGGAACCAGAAGAGATTGGTCTTTGAAAGGTTTGAGATTAAGGGAGTACCAACAAGGGTTTTGCTCAAGACGGAGTCTCAAGGCGACATAGATAACATTTTCAGAGGTGTGGAGAAGTGAGCGTGCGGCGTAAAGCTCAGGGGATGCGATCAAACGGCTGAAGGGTTTGGAGACAAGAGATATTACTGGATGGTAACGTCTTTGAAGCAAGGCAAAACAGGTCGTAGAGATTTCGTTTGGTAGCGGAAGATCCGAAGACAACGACGATGAACCATCGGAACTTTCCACGGGGAATGACATTGCCTTTTATGGATGAAGTTATCAACTCTTTACTCGAGTCGAGTTTATATACTACTTTCATGGAAGACGAAAAGTTGATCGTTCTTTTCACATTTAATTTGGCTGGTTTTAATGACTTAATAATGGTCGTTTTAGCAATTATGATGGATTTTTTTGTTTTAATCGGGTGGGATGGTCAATAACGTTTGGAGTGTATAATCATTAATCATATTCATTGTTAGGGTAGTGGTAGGGGTTATGAATTCGGGTAAACTGAAACCGTTTTTGCTCTAAACAAATTCTAAAGAAAAGTGATGTGAAGTCTAACTAAGGCTCTGTTTTACCTAAAGAATTCTCCTTTGTAATATCTGAATAATCGAAGAAACCAGACCTAAACATAACCTGTCTTCATTTTGAAAGAAAGAAAAGAACATTCTTCTAATATCCAAAAATATCCAAACCATATTCAAACCAAAATTTTAAATTCTCGACTTTAAACAAAACCTAAACTGAAAGTCTGAAACTATAATGTACCAGACTGAAGTCTATTCACTTTTATTTTGCTAACTTACGTTTAGGAAAACAGAAAACCAAAAAGTCCAAACCAATATCGAAAGAGGACCAAACAGCTAATTCCGGGAACGAATCTATATTTAACATCACTCCTAGTCCGCTAGTCCAAGATCCTGGTTAGTGGAGAACATAAATATAAAATATTTAACACTAGAAACGTATAAACGTCGATGACGAGAAAGAATCTATTGCACATTTATTGTCATAGTTAGCGATTTTAAACAGTAAATCATTCGTAGTGAGATTTTAGTTACGTCTACTTCTGAATTTCTATGAAGTTATACTACGTCGCCGTCGGATTCACTGGGCCAAAAGTCTAATCTTACAAATTAACTAGGCCCAAATGTCAGGTCCAATAATGATATCACATACAGACGAGACGAAGGATAAAAGTGTCTTTTCCGGAATAAAGATATTTTTACGCAGATATTTTTGCTTCGAAAGAGGGAAAAAAATCATTGTTTTCCAAAATGGTCACATGATGTGGGCCTATCCACTAACCAGTTAACCGCACATCTTAATCAGAGTTAAAATCCATTAAAGTTGAAAGACACCAATCTTTTAGCAAACCCTAGAGAAAATCTAACTCTAGTTATTACGTCAGCTCTTCTATAAATTAAGGCTCTGTCTTATCACCTCAAATCACAAGTCTCTCTCTCACACACACATCTTTGAAACCCTAATTTCTCCCCTTTAGTAAAGTAATGTCTACAGACGTTGAGTACCGGTGTTTCGTCGGCGGCCTTGCCTGGGCCACCGCAGATGCGGATCTAGAAAGGACCTTCTCACAGTTCGGCGAAGTTATCGATTCTAAGGTCCGTTTCACGAGAGATCGGACTCCCGGATCTTGGGTTCAGTCGAGCCGATTCCGATGATTCTGATCCTCGGCGGATCTGTTTCCGATCTGTGTTTCTCTGTTACTTGATTCGATTACTGTTACTATGTTCTCTCGTTCTTTGTTACTGTTACTTAATTTTTCCCATCGGTACGTTAATCTTCCTGCTTTTATGAGCCCGGAGAACGATCGATTTTTTTTTCTTTCTGTTTGTTATTTCTTCGCTTTTCGAATTACTTTCTACGATAGTTTTTGCTGATTTGTGTTTTGTTTGATTTTGTTTTGACAGATCATTAACGATCGCGAGACTGGAAGATCAAGGGGATTCGGATTCGTCACCTTCAAGGACGAGAAATCCATGAGGGATGCCATTGAAGAGATGAATGGCAAAGAGCTCGATGGCCGTAGCATCACCGTGAACGAGGCTCAGTCAAGAGGAAGCGGCGGTGGAGGAGGCCGTGGTGGTGGTGGTGGTTACCGTGGCGGCGGTGGAGGTGGATACGGAGGAGGCGGTGGTGGATACGGAGGTGGCGGTGGTGGTTACGAAAGACGTAGCGGAGGTTATGGATCTGGTGGAGGCGGCCGTGGTGGAGGCGGATACGGTGGAGGTGGCCGCCGGGAAGGTGGTTACGGAGGAGGTGATGGTGGTTACGGTGGAAGCGGTGGCGGTGGCTGGTAATCGAAGATGAATCGATTCTGTGCTGCTCTGTTTTCGGTTTAGATTTGGTTTCGCATCCTTTGTCCCTCCGGTTTGGTTCTGGTTCTGGTTATTGTGGTTTACTTTTTTGATGTAACAGATCGTTTAAAGTCTTCTTTGCCTAAAACGAAATGTTTATTCGCGTGTTCACTAAATTATAAGCTTTCCAAAAGCAGATTTGATATTCTCAAGTGAAGCCAAAAAAGTATTTACTCATTTACTTAAAACCGGTATTGGCACAACTATATATGACAGATTCAAGTGAATCCGGCTCGGTTATTGATAGAGTGAATAGATCCTGCTCATATTTCGAAAATTTTATAATATATGTTCACTGCACGATCTTTTTAAAAATAATTGCGCTCGTTCGGGTAATAAATATGATTCTTTTTAGATTTTTTCCTGATTTGGTCTGTTTTATTTTTCGATTGAGAAGAACTAAGAAGATAACATATACCTAGAATATTCTCTTTTCCACTTATACTTATCTGTTTGCCGGCATCTTTTTACCGTGTATGTTATTCAACATTTTCCCAACTTATACTTAACAGAACAGTTTATATGTTGTTTTCCTTTTTTCTCGTAAACAGCAAAGTCAAGACCCCATTGAGCTCAAGTCAAAACTTGAAGGAACGAGATTTTTCCAAATCCAAATTTTCTCCTTTAAATCCCATTCCATAAATTAATTGATCATATAACATTTAAATAAAAATCAACAATAATAGTACCGACAAATTAATCTGCTGTAGCTTGATATCCCTGAGGTCCAATCAACAATAAAGTTTACTCCGTAACTTTCCCAAAGAAATTTCAATTCAAAGAACCCATGGCTCAATATATTGATAAGAAATCTTGATAGTCAATGTGTTCCAATTTGTTCGCAAGTTTTTACTGTTCTAGCCAATGTATATACTAGATAACACGGAGAATTTCTCCCTAAAGTTAAGCCAGAGGCCAGAGTCCACAAAGTAAAGATGAAGAAGACTGAGGCAGATAATATACTAACTTCGTAAGCTTGATCTAGAATTGAATGTGAGTACCTGCTCTGACGCAACTCCTCTCTAAATCAATTAACATGATAAGAAAGTAACCACATCAGTTAAAAACACACAGAGCAAAATGTGGAAGGAGAAGAACTTAAAACCAAATATTAGTGATTAGTTTGAATCTTTAGATACTAATCTCCAAACTATTTTTTTTTTTTTTTCTGCTTTCCTATGGAGACAAGGACTTCAAATTCTCTTCATTTTTTTGCAAGATATTTTTTTTGCCAAAAGTAACTCACCTTATATCCCTCTATAAAGAGGTAGCCTTCTGCAACAACTATGAACATATCATTCTCTTGACTTGTAATCATCCCATTCTTAAAGAAAAAAGAAAGAAAAATCTCTTTGACAATGGCATCAAGCTCAATGTCTTCTCAAGGCTCTGGCTCGTGGACTGCTAAGCAGAACAAAGCCTTTGAGCAGGCTCTAGCAACCTATGACCAGGATACTCCTAACCGTTGGCAAAATGTTGCCAAAGTTGTGGGTGGAAAAACAACTGAAGAGGTAAAGAAACACTATGAGCTCCTTTTACAAGATATTAACAGCATAGAGAACGGTCATGTTCCATTCCAAAACTACAACACTGGTGGAGGCTGCACTAATGGCAGGCTGATTGAATCAATAGAGGAAAAGAGGTATCAAAGAAAGCTACCAAAGCTTGATAATCTACTATTTTCATAATATCAAAATCTTAGTTTAATTACATCTAAAGAGATTCTATGATCATCGTCTCTGTATGTTCCCATTTGTTTATGCAGGTTCAGAAATATGAGGCTGCAGTGAATTAAAAAGAAAAACAAGAGAGAACCTAATTACTAGGAGAATGAGCTTAATTACTAGGAGAATAAAAAGACGATACGCTGATCGATTCTTCTCTCAACCATGCCAATGAAGAATTGTTGTTTATTTTTCTATTTCCTATATAAATTTTCCCGAAAGCTTATACGCTACAATCGATGAATCCAAATCTCTCGAAATACCAATTTTAATCATTAAAGCTTGTGCTAATTAGTGTTTTTTATAATGAAATGTTCAGCGTCATAACTAATCATTGCTGTAGTATTAGTAACTATTGCGGGAAATATAATACTGGAGAGAAACTCGGTCACGACGAGGAAAAACATTGCTCTAAAATCTGTCATTCCTGATCACAAATTTATTTCAATAGAGACGCAGACATGGCGGGGAATTTGATGCTTGCAAAAATCGTATGGGCCTAAGCCCAATTTGACGCAGACACAGACAACGTCGTCACCTGGAATAAATTATCGTCACGTGCATATGCGGTTAACTAAAATCTTATGGGCCTAAGCCCATTTTTACGGTTAAATATAAATAAATATATTATGCCCCTTTCTTCTCCTGTCTTTGTTTGATTAGCGGTTGGACATTTCATAGCGCGGTTATGCTTCTTTCAGCCGCGAGTTCCAGTGGCTCGATCGCCGGGGAACCGCCGCAGAAGAAATTAAGTAATCCGGAGCCGTCGTCGCTGTCACTACTTCCAGATGAAATCGCTCTGAATTGCTTGGCGCGCGTGCCGAGATGTTACTACCCTGCGATTTCAATCGTCTCCAGGACCTTGAGGCGTCTCATCGCTTCGTCGGAGTTCTACGTCGAACGGTCAGTACTTAGCCGCACAGAACAGGTCCTTTATGTTTCACTTAGATCTCTCGCTACAGAACCCCTCGATGGTACACTTTCAATCAGAAACCTTTCGGAAATGAGTCTGAAGCGGCAGGAATTAGTCATAAACTGGTTCCGATTCCGTCATTTCCTTTGATTCCTTACTGGGGAATGTCGACCGTCGCTGTTGGTTCTGAAATCTACGTCCTTGGTGGATGCGTCAACAACAATTTGGTCTCCACTGTGTTTGTCGTCGAATGTCCATCTCACACGTGCCGCTTCCTCCCGAGCATGAGGCAGGCGCGTGGCTGCGCCGCCGCGGAATTCGTCGACGGGAAATTATATGTAATCGGAGGTTGTAATCCTCTGTCTTTGAATTGGGTGGAGGCCTTTGACCTCAAGACTCAAACTTGGGAGTCTGTTATGGGCCTGTATATTGTGGAGGTGCACGAGAAAACGATCAGAAGCTTTGTGATAGATGGTAAGATTTACATCATGGATCGGAAGAGTAGCTTTGTTTACGATCCTAAGCAAGGGAGATTGGAGAGTGACCTGTTGTTGGATACACAATGGAGTGTGGGCTCTTGCGTCATTGATAACAAGTTGTACACTTTCGGTAGGAAGAATTAAATATGGGTGTTTGATCCAATCGCCAGGGTTTGGGATCTCGTCAAGGGTCTCAATGATCTTCATGAGAAGCGCGATGGTTCTAGAATGGCGAACCGTGGTGGAAATCTTGCAATTTTGTTTAACCTTAAAAAGTGTTCTACAGAAATTTGGTGTACAGAGATTGGTTTGGAAAGGAGAGACGGAGGAGAGATTTGGGGGACGATCTTGTGGTCTAATCTTGTGCTTGCTTTGAAAGATCCCTCCACCATTGTACAATCTCTAGCTGTAACAGTTTGATGACCCATGAGATGGATTCTTGCGCTTGTTTATTTGTTGTACAACTCTATGTATGTGATTTTGTTGTTTAATGAATTCGGTATGTTACCAGGCGCTTAAACAGATTGTTTTAAGCGCTTTTGAAATGTTTGAATCTAACATGGTTACGTTCGGACCGCATAAGTCATCTACTTGTTGATGTGCAAGTTAAACCTTACGAGGATCTCCTCTAAGTTTGGTGATTTACTAGTTTTACCATTTTTTTCCCAAATATCAATCTATTGATAATTCTTATCGAGGGCATCATTGTTTTGCAGTCATGGTAATCGGATCAAAAATATAATATTCGTTCGAAAATGTTTCTATTTTGAAAAACAAGAGCAATCAAAACGCACTTCAGGGTTTATCACATATTTTGCTTGCCTCAAGAACTATATTGTAGATCGAGATTAGAAGGTCTCGAACCTTGATAAAGTTGATTTACAAGAAAAACCGTAGTATGATGTTAACAAAGAAAAAGCGACCTCGTATCTTCAAACCTCACAAATTGAGAAGGACCTAACTCTTTAATCCGACACTGTTGTTTGAAGAGGCAATTGACTCTCGACTCCCTTGGCTTCCTCGGCTTGCTTCTCTGCCACAGCCTTGGATAATCCAAACATCTGAAAGCAACCCACATATTGTTATTTGCGAAGATGGATGATCCCCAAATCAAAAGCGTATTGCTTGAAGCCCGAAATGACATCTCAATCAGGATAAAGACTTGTCACATAGATATCATGTGTTTTAATCGTGAATTGTGCAACGGGCTTGGACCAGAAACAACTGTAGCAAGTGCATTAAACAATCTCCTATGATTTTCATGTCTGAAACGCAACCATATGTGATACTGATTTCCAATTGTAACACACATCCAGATACGCCAAACTCATGCCCAATTATGCAGGCAGATTCAAAATCCACAATGATGCAACTTGCAAGACGCTTTTTTTCACATGGTTTTATATCTAGAGCAAGAGTCAAAGAACAACACCGAGAGACCAGAAATATAGCTAATAAGAGAGCTGAGAAAGAACCTTGTTGATGGTCTTCTGGAAGCAAGTCTTGTGTTCATCCATTGAGGCATGTATGAACTCATCGATGTGATCTTTCACGTCCTCAAAGAAAGTGGCATCATCCTTTACCTTCTTCCTACATGAAGTCATGGCCGGTTTCGGAGGGATTTCGGTTTGATTTTTTGGGGTTTCCATTTGTGCCTGCAAAGTAAGCAAAAACAAAAAATTTATGATTAAACAAAATCCAACCCAAGTGAGCACAGAGCAACCAGAGAAACAGTTGTGTACATTCTTTTTTTCTTTGCTCAAAGCACAAAAAGAGGGAATGAAGCATCCTCTCTCAACAGTTGTGTACATTCATTATTTTTATTACACAAAAGTTAGTTTATACACAAATTATAAATCCACAATAACCAAATCCACAACGATTACTACAATAAGCAGGATATCCACCAAGTATTCGACCGAATGCCAAAACGGAAACAACAATTCAAGCTGAAATTGGAAACTCATGGCGTCCGCTAAACAATTACTGAACATCAATTTCCTTTATACGCTCTTATTTTAGACGAAAAAAACGAACAGATATCGAAGAACATGAATAGCTTCGCGACAAAAAAATTGACCTCCAAGATGTTTTCCTTCTTCTTCGATAGTTCTTTTTTTTTTTTTCCTTTTCTGAAAGAGAAGAGTCGACGAAATTATTTAACCACACACAGGCGATTCTTGTTAATAATCAGGTGCAGCGAGATTCGAGAACACGGTAAACATTCTTGGAGAGCAAGTGGAAGAAAACGCTGCGTATTCCACAATGAAAGGCGGGATTAAAACTAAATGGGCCTTCACGAGGGCTCCATATAAAACGTGATTACAAAAATGAAGACCATTTACAAAGGCCCACGTGATCTGGGTCTTTTATATCATTCCAAGTTCCGATCGAATTTGGTCGTAAAATTTCCAAATTTCAATTTCTGGGTTTCGCTTTTCGCTCGATCTTCTACCCATTGCATTGGATCCTGATCAACTTTTTTTATTTGGTCGTCGACTCGTCGTAAAAAGCCGCCAATTTCTTTTCACCAACCAAACCGAACATTGGTACGCATATTTTGACTTAAAAAGTAGCTCAAGTGTTGACTCCGAAGAATGGGGTATTATTGTCATTTTATAGAAGCCTATTTTCTCTCTTTGTTAATGGTTCAAAGTTGAAGCAACGGGTAACAATTCCGCAAAATTGGGATCGATTTCCTCTGTATTATATCTGAATCATTCCGTTGTTACGCGCCACCGTGTTTTGTCTTTGTCTCTGTAGACTGTAGCTAACTCTCTCCAGCAAATAAAATGGCGAATAAGAGCAAAATCCTGTTCATCGGAGGAACGGGTTACATCGGGAAATATATAGTGGAAGCGAGCGCGAGATCTGGCCACCCAACCCTCGTTCTCGTTAGAAATTCGACGCTCACTAGCCCATCACGTTCCATCACCATCGAGAATTTCAAGAATCTCGGCGTTCAGTTTCTACTCGTTCGTATCTCTCAACGCCTCTTTCTTTTTTTTTTTTCGTTTGATCTCTTCAGTTTTCGGACATTTTGAAAATTTCATCTTGTTTCTGAGGGGCTTTTTTTATATATAGATGGTACTTTTAGAGTTTCATAGTGATACAAATGTGTAGAGTGTATTTTAACAGCTAGACGGAATGCTTAATTTTGTTTAATAATGGTTCGCTGATTCTGTTTTCTACGAAAATTGGATAGGGAGATCTTAACGATCATACGAGTCTCGTGAATTCGATAAAGCAAGCAGATGTCGTGATATCGACGGTTGGACACTCGCTCTTGGGCCACCAAGACAAGATCATATCTGCCATCAAAGAAGCTGGTAACGTTAAGGTAACAACAAAAAAAAAAAAAACAAAGAGAGGGTGTTGTGTTTGCCTTTGTTCAAGTGTCATGTCATGTGTATACCTTGTTCCTCAAGAAGAAGATTGAAATAGAATTAGACAACATTCATATTCATTTGAAAAAAAAAAACTGACAGTTGAATCCCGAATTGCATATGACTATTCCTTCATTTGGTCGGAGAATGGTTCAATTTCATTGCATATCGACTATGTCTTTGCTGAGTTTAGTTTAGAGACTAACTGTTTGTTTCCTCATTGACCCTACTGAGAACTCTGAATACTGTGCTACTAATTACAGAATATTATGTGGGTGTCATGTTGCTGATATATAGAATAGTGCACCACTATATATAGTGTGTGGGTTTCATGTTGCTCATATATAACATTTTCACATCTATCTCCACAGAGATTCTTTCCCTCGGAGTTTGGAAATGACGTAGACCGGGCTCACAGTGTTGAACCTGCCAAATCAGCCTATGCTACAAAGGCAAGAATCCGCCGAACAATTGAGGCACAAGGGATCCCATACACTTACGTCTCTTGCAACTTCTTTGCTGGCTACTTCCTCCCATCTCTAGCACAGCCTGGGGCTACTTCTGCTCCACGGGATAAAGTCATCATTTTGGGTGATGGAAACCCCAAAGGTAAGAGAAACCTTTGTTAAGTTAATGAATTTCGCGATCCCAATTCTCTAACAACTAGCAAAGTGATAGATTAACAAGTTATTTTTGGCCCTGAGCTAATCAACCTTAAGCTGAAAGGTCTTCCTGTGTTTTTGATTCTTGGTGATAATTTGCAGCTGTGTTCAATAAGGAAGAAGACATCGGGACGTACACAATCAACGCCGTAGATGATCCAAGAACCTTGAACAAGATCTTATACGTTAGGCCACCGTTGAACACTTACTCATTCAACGATCTTGTCTCGCTTTGGGAGAAAAAGATTGGAAAAACACTCGAAAAAATCTACGTTCCAGAAGAACAAATCCTCAACCAGATAATAGGTTTTGATCTGAAACCTCCATTCTTCTTCTTCTTCCTCCGATCTTTTATATCTTTGTCCATTAATGGGTTAAGTGTTTTTATTTTTTTATTGCAGAAGCTTCGCCTCCACTCAACGTGATGCTATCACTTTGTCATTGCGTTTTCGTGAAAGGAGGACAGACAAGCTTTGAAATCGAACCTTCCTTTGGAGTAGAAGCTTCTGAGCTTTACCCTGATGTCAAATACACTACTGTTGATGAAATCCTCAACAACTACGTCTAAACCTTAGTAGCTTAACCTAAGAAACCTCGTGATTCTTTCCTAAAATGTATCAAAATTGTTTTAGTTTTCTAAATAAGTTTTAGATTTTGGGTTTAGATTTGGCTGTTAACCTGTGACTTTTTCCGTTCCAATATAAATCAATCAAACCGCACCTCACTAGTGGGTTTCTGATGCACCAAATTTGAATGCACGGCATTGGAGCCGGTTTAAATAGCTGTTATAAATCTCTTTGTATATTTTGTGTGGCTAAAGGAGCGCCTCTTGAGTCTCACGTCCGTTTTGATCCGATAACTTTCTTCTTCCACCAGTTTTGTATATCTTTGTCCATTGATGGGTTAAGACTTAAGTGTTGCTATTTTTAGTGCCGCCAAATTCACATGGTTATGCGACTTTAGTACCAATGGAACTACACGGCGCAATTAGTAGAATTTGAAAGAGCACAGGCCACAAAAACGAATCATATTTACACAAGTGGTACGCTTGCAATTGATGAATAAACAAACACGAACAATTTAAATTCCTCTCAGCTAAAACAAATTTAATTTCCATTCTGTTTTTTCTTCTTTTTTTTTACTTCCTCTAATTCTTCACTAGTAGCTGCGTAGTTTTGTCAATGTAACAAATAGTCCAAAATGATTTTCTAAACAAATTTCTTTTCTTGTTTGCAAAGACAAAAGTGACCAACGGTTAGTGCATTAGTCAGATCAGTCCGCACGTGAGCCGCTGGTGCTCCGGCCGCCATATTTCTGCCACAAAAACCAACCAGAGTCGTCAAATAGACCTTATAATTTTGGATTTAGCCTAATTAATCTCAAATTATACAATATTTTAATGCAATATATTTGTACTGTATATGAATGTGGAAGAGAGCTAATAGAACTTACAGTTGCAAAATGTAACATGCTCAAGACTCAACAAGCATTAAAGTTTTTACCTGTTTGCCAAAGCTGAAAGGGATGTACTTGTACTTCATCATGTGGGAGATCTGGCGTCTCATGGTGAGAACAAAGAGAACGATCCAATAACAAAGCAGGATTGGCCAGAACACAGGAACGTCAAATACGGAGAAGAATGTCATGAGAAACGCAATGCAGAAAGCCTTCGTCATGGAGTACCTGAGATCACAAAGGTTTCCAGAATTTAATAGTCATTATCAATCATGACTCCATGTAAGGCAGCAATGTAGCGACAAAGAAGATGATACTCCACTGTGAAGGACTTTGACGTGGCAATTAGCAAGAACGAAAAATCAACAAGGCACACGAGACGTGCATGGGATTACCAGAATTTGAACTCAGGCAGCCGGCGAATAAAAGGCTTGAACTCATCAGAACCTCTAGTAGGAAGAGAAGGCCCATCAGAGACCCCAGCAGCCTCAGGATCAACAAGAGGGGACAGGAACCCGATTAGCAGGTTCAGAAGGTAGATTCCAAGCCCGTAGGCGATGATGTAGAATCCCTGAAGATAATAAACCCTCAAACAGTAGATAAGCGCGACGACAAGAGTTCCGATCCACCTGTAAGTTGCATGAGGCGTAGTCTTGTCTAGATAATGCTGGTAAATCCTCCATGCCTCATGTGCTCGCTGTTGAACAGGCGTGGCCACTGAACCACTATCACCCCCGTTTCCGTCCATCTAATGTGATTTTTTGAAACCCTAGAGGATGATAAACAAAACAGTTGAGAATAGTCAAATCCCCTCTTGGTATTACACAAATTCAGATCAACAAGTACGTGAATTGTTTCTCGCTTTATAGTAGAGCAAAGCATAATACAATGAACAAATTCTTTATGAAGCCTAGCTTTAATATATCTCTGCACCTTATCTACTTAACAAAAACAAATCACATCACAGGTTTCTTTTTCCCAAGTGAACATTAACAAGCTTTCAACTTCTACCGTCACGTATTGTGCAGCAAACCTACGTTAACCATACGACTCTCGAAGATGAACCCAGAAACATACTCGCAGAAACAAAGATTTGCTAGAAATCGTATGTCAGAGAGCGTAACCAGTAGCTGTTAAAGATATAAATCTAGAAAATGCCATTGATTCTCTCTTAACTAATCTATCTCAGGGAATCAGATTCCTAGTAAACAGCAACTCAGTCAAAATTTTCTCACCGAACAAAATGATTCCAATAAATCACAGAATAAACAAAGGAAAAAAGCCGCTCAAAATTCAGATCTGGAAACTCAATCGGTGAAATCTAAAACACGATTCCAACAAGTGACAAAAAATCACATGATAGGAATCGTTCGAAACAGGGAAGAACGAAAATTCTCAGATCACTGATTAGAAACTTCGGAGAGAACACACAAAATTGAAAGAAAGCACTTACGGGAGATTGAGTAAATGATATAGCTGCTTATCCAAGCAGATCTGACGAAAGACGCAAACAAGAAGAAATGAAGGAGAAGGATTTTTGATCTCGATAATATTCAGTATCAATCTATCTATCATACTTAATTGTCTAACTTAAACTTACATGGGCTTCACTTGAATTAATAATTAACCCAAAAAAACATTATATGGGCTTTTTGGTATAGCAGCCTCTTAAGCCTGCATACACTAATATGTCCGAAACCTAAAGATTAAAAGAGTAAACCTCATCGTTTCCCATAGCCTCCTCCTCCTCCTCCTCATCTTTCAGCAAAGCCGTTCGCTACTCCGTCTCCGTCCAAGTCAACATGGTATCCATCTCTATGTTTCGTTCGTGGCTATCTCTCTCTGTCTCTCTCCATGTTTACTGTTTCTCTCTCTCTCGTATGAATCGTTGTTTACGTTTTCTGGTTACAGGCGCCGAAGAAGGATAAGGTTCCGCCGCCGTCATCGAAGCCGGCGAAATCCGGAGGTGGAAAGCAGAAAAAGAAGGTTCGTCACGAGATCATTGATTACTTTACGAACAGAATTTTAGGTTTCATTTGAATGTGTAAAGATCTGATTCATATTTTCCGCTATTCCATATACACATATTCATGTTAGCTACATTTTGGGTTTCTGTGAGCTGTGATGTTTAACATTAAGCTTTAAAAACGATGAGGATTTGTTTTGCTATTGATGTTGTTGTTGCTGATGATTAGCATTGGAATTCGCGTTTTCGATCATTGTGCTTAATTGTTGTTGTTGATTTTTGAAAAAAAAAAAAAAAAAAACAGAAGTGGAGCAAGGGAAAGCAAAAGGAGAAGGTCAACAACATGGTGTTGTTTGATCAGGCTACTTATGACAAGCTTCTCACTGAAGCTCCCAAGTTCAAGCTCATCACTCCTTCCATTCTCTCTGACCGTATGAGGGTAAATGTCTCTTCAATTTTTCATACTTCTGTTCCCTGGCACTGATTTCATGTTAAGTACAAGTATCATGAATCTGTTGAGTTTCTACAGAATCAGCTAGTGAATACACTAGCTAGGATCATATTTTATTGCAAGCAATTTTACAACTCTTATGTATGAATGTTGCTTGAGTCCTTGTTCATGAGTTGGTTCTTTGCTTCCACATAGTTTCGAATGTTGTTTGTATGTAACAAGTTGTCAACCTCGAGCTTGTCTTATATCATCATGTTGTTTGTTTTTTTTTTCTCTCACGAAAACATGACATATTGTTACGTATTTTTTGATTTTGTTGAAAATACAGATAAGCGGGTCGCTAGCAAGGAGGGCGATTAGGGAGCTTATGGCGAAAGGTTTGATCAGGATGGTCGCTGCTCACTCGAGCCAGCAAATTTACACTCGTGCGACCAACACCTAAGATGTTTGTTCTTGATCCGACTTGTGCTTGATTTGTTTTTCATACCTCATGGTTTTGTTATGCGGGAACTCGTTAGAATCTTGTATTCATCTGCCTTTTTTGATCACTGTTTTCATCAGATTTTATGGTATTTCTTTTAACAGTTCCTCGTTGGTTTATTTATTTACGAAAGAATACTCCAAGATTTGACAATATCAACTTAACCCCCTTAAACATTTTTTTCAAAACAACCTAAAGAAATAAATTAACGTCGGTTTAACCCCAATGTTCGTCATAAGTCGATTAAACCTCTAGTATTAGTCGAGAACTTTTAAAAGGAGAATAAAAATAGTCGAAAATGATAGATAGCTTTATTTATTATTCATGAACCAGCCGATCACTCTTATTGTAAAGCTTAAATGTTCTTTTGGGTCTAAGGTCTATGATTCTATCTCTTGAAACTCTTTTAATCTACATAATAATTCTGTCGGAAGAAGATCACAGCTATCTATCTCTTTCCTTTTTAACTCGTGTCAGAACACCTCAAACTTCCCAGCTAGGTTGTTGATTTCAGACACGGTTGTCTTACGATCGTTCTGTTCATATGACAGTCCCGTCTTTAATGGTGGCCTTTTCGACAATCACAGTGATACCAGATCGAATGTAGAATCCTTCCTCTGGCCTATCAGCTTCTTGAACATCCTGAAAGCAAAACAAAAAAAAACCATTAACGTTAAGAATGTTGAATCTCTCAAAAGTATTGATCTTTCCTAAATCTTAAAGACAGAAAACGCAAAAAAAAAAAAACAAAATCAAGAATGGAGAAGAAGGCATACATCTTTGTTCAAGATCATCACGTTTTTCCCGATCTTTGCATTCTTGTCAATGATGCATTTCCTTCAATGTAATAAAAGATAACATTATAGTTTAAGAATCAATTCAGACAAAAACACCGAGATTAAGGTCTGTTACCTGATCTTTGTATCTCGGCCAATGCCAATTGGAACATTGCCTTCCGCGAGCAGAGACGCAATCTCAGATTCGGTTTGGTAACTATCCGCTCCCAACATTAAAGTATCCTGCATGAAAAACCAAAAACTAGACTCAGTCTTTGAACCCAACAATGTCCTTAAAGCTCGCTCCTTTTCGATCGAGGATTCACACCTGAAGCTCAACACCATAGTCAAGACGTGACCTTTCACCAATGATGGAACGTTGGATGCTGCATTCTCCCAAGAAACATCCATGTGAGATTATCGAATCTACGAACTGCATAATCATCAGAGGTAACATACCAATTAGTGAATCAAGACTCAAAGATCCATAGGCTAAAGAAAGGGAAAGAGAAATATGTTTACGCGGCATTTTTCGGTTTTGGTGGGTGGTAGAAACCGAGGAGAAGTGTAGAAAGGCGTATTCTGATCGTAAAACTCAAACTTGGGATGCTGCGTAAAACAAGAAAGAAAGAACAATAGCTGGGAGACTGGATCAAAGATAAAATCAAAAGGTTTGTAACATTTTTGAGTATTAATCAAAACTAACCTCCTCGACAAGTGCAAGATTAGCTTCATAGAAGCTCTTTATAGTTCCGATATCTTCCCAATAGTCTCTGTAGATGTATCCCTAAAGAAGACATTTTTTATTACATCGTTTGCAATAGATAGAACTCATTAAATTAGTTTAGAAGATAGAGCTTCTTTTCTTTTACTTGAACATTGTGATCTACTATAGCTGCAGGAATAATTTCAGATCCAAAGTCATTGGAAGTCGGATAATGCTTTGTCAGAAGTTTCAGCAAAGCTTCGGTTTTGAAACAATAAACTCCCATTGATGCAATGTATGGAGATTCCGCTGCCTCTTGATGTGACAGTCCAAGCATAGCTGTATCGGTTTGCTGCATTAACATTATACAATCGTCAAAAAAAAAAACAGAACCAAATATTCGTTTTATGGATGTTTTGTAACTTGCAGGATTCGAAGATAAAACTGTACCATTGATTTCAGATCGATGCCAGTTGGTTTCTCAGAGAAATGGACTACACGTCCGCTTCGATCGATATTCACTAGCCCATAATCCGATGCACGGCTGAAAAAAAAAGGTTTTAAGAATCAAGTAAAAATAGGTTAGAAATGTAAAACCAAAATCATAACAAACGCATATCATAGTGCTAAAGAAACTAACCTCTCACCTACTGGTGCGCACGAAAGAGTGATATCCGCGTTTCTATCAACATGGTACTGTCATAGTGTTTTAGAGTTAGTTAGCAAAAATAGTTAAAAGACTATCTATCAAGAGGAATTTGTTTTATGCTTATATTACCTGAACAAAGTCCATATAATTCATTCTATAGAGATGATCTCCAGACAAGATAATAATATTCTCAATGTTCCTGTTCTTAGCATCCTAATAATATCAGAGATCAACAGATTCAGACCATTTTCAAAGAATCACAAAGGAGCAAGACTTTAAATGATCATAAGTTTTTCATACCTCAAAAACCCACAGAAACTTTCTCACAGCATCTGCTGTTCCTTGAAACCACTTTTTCCCGGCTTCACCAGGAGTTTGTGTAGCAGCTAGAACCTGTGTCAAGTAAATTACCGTTGCTTAATTCATCGAGTCCAGAAGAAAAAAGAAAAACGAGAAGGCATTCGCTGAAGCCATATTGTTAAAATTTACCTCAACGAAACCATCTCCAAAGTTAATGCCATTCCCGAAATAAGTACGAGCCAAATGACGATTGAGGGAAGCCGAGTTAAACTGAGTCAGCACGAAAATCTTGTTTATGCAACTGTTAATGCAATTACTCATCGGGATATCGATCATCCTATAGCATCCACCAACAGGAACCTGCAAATATTGTTTGAAAAGAATAAGAAAACCAAAGACTTGTCGTTTGGACAAAATTATCTTTCGAGAACCCGTTTTGATCAGTAAATGATAGTTACTCACAGCTGGTGTTGCTGCTCGCTTTGTAAGAGGAAAGAGTTTAGCTCCGTTTCCTCCTCCCAGAATGATTGCAGCCACATTTTTTGGATCTGCTTTTCTTCTCTCGAACATCGAACGCTGTATTGTCTGAAAACAAAAACCATCCCAAACCAATCAACTAAAGGGAATCTTTAAGACAAGTACCTCAGACAAGTTATCAAGTGTTTTGATGAATCTGGTCATTGACTTACCAAAGCCTCTTTAGCATTCTTTGAAGTAGCAATCGCGTAAGCAACACCGGGCTTCCGCTGACGATTTCTGGACTTCTTGGAACTTGAATCCGAAGCAAAAGGTTTTAAGAAGCTTCCTTTGATCTTCTCACCCCAAAATTTGTTCTCCACATTCGTCAAACTGTCTTTGGGCAAGAAGGTGTTTGTCCCCAAGCTGAAGTAGCAACAGGAATCCATCTTTTTTTAACCTGGAATGAAACGGAACAGAATTGTATAGCAGAGTAAATTTAGATAAAACAGAGTAACATTAATACTAATGGAATAAATTAATTCCCGGAAAGCAGGAAACTTTTGGCGATTCCAGATGATAAAATGTTCGATTCGAACAAAAACTATGACTACATAGGTGACTTCAATACACAGTGTCTCTCAGAAATTCATTGTATCAAGACAAAAAAAAACTAACTCTTGTAAATACCAAGAGAGACTGTATCTTCAGAGATCAATGGAATTATCTTCTGCAGGTAACAAATCTTTTAAAACATAGAAACGAGGAAGAGAGTTGCCAAAAAAACAAAAGAGAGAGTATACTTTCTATATATGAACCGAACAAGGTTTGGATCAGAATGAGTTTGAACCAGAGAAATAGTAAAATCCGGGTAGGTTTTCTGATCACTGTAAGACAACTAGAAGATTCAGAACACTAAAGGGAACTGAGAAGTTCATGACTAAAATAATCCCAAAAAGGAAAAAAAAAAAAGACTTTTGATCCAATTCTGGAGAAGAAACCCGATGCAGCATTGCTTAGAGCTAAACAGAATAAAGCAAAATCGTTTTGTGAGAGAATGTGAAACCTCCAAAAGTGAAAACTTTATACATGTTCAGGACCTAAAACACTCAGATAGTTAAAATGAACAAATCATGAACACAAAGATATATATATAGAAGAAGATCGGACATGACCAGAAAATAGAGTCCTTATTCGTACTCTGGTTTTGATTTATGTGATCTCTCGTTTGAAATCGAAGGAAGAAACGAGGACTGCTGATCAGTGAGGAGCTAAATTGCTCTTCTATCTTTGAAAATCTGCTCTATATTTATTCTATAACTTTTTTATCTTCTCTTGACTGTTTAAACTAGGAAATTACAGTTTCAATAATATACGGAATTATTAATTTATGTTTTAAATTGTAAGAAAAGATATTCATTTTCGTAAGGAAAAAAATCTAAAATATCTACTCTTTTCGACAAACTCTAAAAAACGAATAACTAATACACGTAATCAAAATGCCAGATTATAAAATATTATAAAAAATTATGTTATACAAGCAAAATGATTATTATCAAAAAAATATGTTATACAAGCAAAAATCAAAATGTTAAACCTTGAAAATTGCACATTAAAATAATAGTATCTTTCAACAGATCATGTGAAAATTTTACCAACCAAGGCATAGGTGTCTCTGTCTGACAATGAGCGTCACTGAACCAAAATGGACGACTCTGGTTTCTCCCATTCTCTTGCTACGGGGAAACATATGGGACACGTGGCGCTCAACGATATATCTGTCTGCTTGTATGTGGACCCAGGCCCATTTTCATCTAATTGGCCCAGCCTAGAGGTGCGCTATATAGTCCGTACACGTCATAACACAAAAACACAGAATTGCCTTGAAGGCAGAGAGATTAAACAATCTACTACTAGTCTACTATTAACTAAAAAGTAGAGTTTAGTTCTAATCAAACGCCAAAAAATCATAACCGAATAGTTTGATTATACTTATATAACACACCAAAGCATAATATTTTGAACATGGCTTGACAAACCCAATTAGATTGCTTAAAAAAAACAAATCTAACAGCTAAGTTTAAGAGATGGTGCAGTAAATCTCTCTTAGGGGAAAGAAGTTTCATGTGATAGACGGGGGAGAAGATGAGATATAAGGACCCATCACGCATAAATCAATGCTATATGTCGGACAATTATTTGAATAAATCTACGCTAAGTGCAAGTCCAATTAGCAAAATAATAAATACTAAAATTCTTTGGTGTGAAGACAAAAATATCAAAAGTAGAAGTATTATTTTAACCAAACACCAAGGGACAGTGAAACTTGTCACGTGGCCTGCAGGCGTTTCCTATTTATGATATTATTATTACCTATCAATCACAATCATATTTATCTGTTCAAACGATTGCTCTCATTGAGATAATAGTAGATGCCCTGTTCGCATCCGGGTTCATTTTCATATTAAAATGGAACAAAAAATCATATATAAATTTGTAATTTTTTTCTTAAATTATGTAATTTTTTTCTCGTGAAGTGGCATTCCGCCACTTGATGAGTGTAATGTGAATATGTGTCCACAGCCCACTCTCGTTTATCAACTGATATCAAAAGGTGACACTGAATGACCTCCTCACCTTCCGCAGCTCAAGTCACAGCCGCACAGCAATGTCAGCACTTTTCTTATCGCAAGCTATCACAAAAAGAATCATCTTTGGAATGGCAGATAACAAAAACCTTTGTATTGATGGATTCACTTCTGAATTTTTCATAGATAATTGGGACATCTTAGGCGATGAAGTTACTATTTCATTGAAGCATTTTTTTCACGACAGACTTTATAGCAATACTTAACACGCTTGATGATCATAATGTAAAGCTATATATAAGATATTTATATGTTTCATGCATGGTAAATAACAAAGTTGTTCATTAGTAGAATGAACCAAAACATTTAAGATTGAGCATTCAAATCATTTGTTGATGTTGAGACGTTTATAAATAAGTAACTACATCTTATTCATATTAGAATAAACCAACTATTATAATATTTATGTGCTTCAAACGCAGTTCCTAATTCCGGATTTGAGTGGACTTTAAAGATATTGACAAAATATATTTAACTCATAGAGAATTAGGGACTAATTTTCGATTGACCATGAACACTCATGTATGGTAGTTTTTTTTATTATCTATAAATCTGACACTAATATGATAAATAAATAGTCGAACTCCATGTGACTAATTAAGAACTCGTTGTGAACAAAATCTGAAGAATCGTAAGTGATTTGAGCATCAACATAGAACGTTCATGCGGGATCTTGTTGTCGTTGATGTTCGGAAGTGATTTTTTACTTTATTTTCTTTATAATCTATACGATCAAACAATTCAAAATATATCATCGAACGATATATATCTATAATTAATCTAGTTGTAAATCATAAATCATTATTTTATTATAAAAAAAACAATTCAGCCATTTACAAATGTCGTATGATTTCCTTTATCACAATAATTTACGTGAATATATAAGCTTACAAGTTACAAGTATTCTAGTCTTACCAAAGTTGTTTTTATCAAGTAATTAACACACAGTAAACTCCAAATTTTTTTTTTTTAATGTCATTCTAGGTTTTTTATGTTTCGTAACTTGATGACGAAATGAAGATTTGGTTCACAGGCTAACCTTGACTAATTAATCAATTAACCAACCCATGTGAATTTCCTTAATAGTCGCCTCATTAATTAATTTAGTACTCTCATCATGTCTCTATATAAACCGTAGTGTATAGCCTTATATAACACAAAACCAAGAATAAGAAGTAAAAGTTATACAAAGAGGAGAAAAATGACAAAGTCATTCACTCTTGTTGCACTTCTCTGCATCTGCTTCCTTCTCCACTCGCCAACTGGTCAGTTTAGTGACACTACTATATTTTTAAGTTTTTAACTATATATATTGTCATATTGATGAAAATATTGTTTAGCATAAATAAAAGAAAAATGGACGTTAATAAGAAATGCGATTTACTTTGAACGCAGTTTTGAAAGTAGCGGAAGCAAAGATATGTCAAAGGTACAGTCAAACGTGGTCGGGGAGGTGCACGAAGACGAGCCACTGCGATCGTCAATGTATCAACTGGGAGGACGCTCGCCATGGAGCGTGCCATCAGGACAAACGCGGCCGCGCTTGTTTCTGTTATTTCAACTGCAAAAATTAAGCGTTTTGGGCGTTTAAAACTTTGTTTGTGAAACCCTCTAGCTATATATGCATAATGCATTGTCTTATAAGTCATGACAACTGACAAACGTTTTATTGTTTCTTCCAAATAATAAGTTATGACTCTATTATATGTTGTTTGTTTCCATAGTCCGCATGCGTCTGTTTGCATCATGGTGATCCAAACAATAACAGCGTAATATATGAAATTCTAATAGTTTTGTCGATTAAAAAAGTTATATACTCAGTTACCATAAATTCTTTCTCCATCAAACATCAACCAATTATCTGGTTAATTATCTGACGCATTAGTTAATGATCTGGTTAATTATGTTGCATATTTCTTTCAACTAGCAAGACTATTGAGCGTAATTTCATAATGGGCTTTAAATGGAGTCCAATCCAATATATGTCACCGTTAATGGGCTTTAAATGGAGTCCAATCCAATATATGTCACCGTTAGGACTTAGGAGTTAGGAGTGTACGTGTTAATAAAGTTATGACGTCTAGGGCCGGATTTGAGAATTTGGGGGCTATAGATAATTTAAGAATAAATTTTTTTTTTTTTATAATTTGAAAGCCAAAAATTTAAAAAAATTTTGGAGGTTTCATCAGGTCCCCAAATTCGGCCCTGTTGACGTCACACGTATTTTAAGAATAATATATAAACTTATCTCATATATAATATTTTGACCTCAGCTTAGTAAAGCGGAAGACTGTAGTAGTTGCTGTAATCTTTAGGTCGCTTATTCGATTCCGGCTGATCGGATATATTTTTAACAAATAACTATTAGGATATGTACTCGGTGACGATAACTAAGCCGCGTGTGGGAATGTTCCATTGTGTATGCAATCTTTTTCAAGGGAAAAGCAAAACCTAAAATACATACAATATATTTTTTGTTAAAGTAAAATACATACAATATCATATTTCATAACGTTTGCAAATGCACTCTTACACTCGGTGTTACGATAGATCTGATCAATATATGAAGACACGTTTCACTTGTATGATCAATTAGACACACCAATCCGCATTTCAACTTTTTGAGAAAAGAAGTGAAGCTTTTGTCAAAGTGTATCCAATAATGAAAAATTTGAAATTTGAAATTATGAGACCACCTCTATTTTATAGTATATGCTTTTGGTTTGGAAAGGGACAAGACATTAAAGAAACAACAAAGAGTTGTTGACCTACAAGCCATTTCGCCATCTCTTAATGAAGAAGTAAGTGTAATTTATATTTATTTTTTTTCTCATTCCTTACGTAAAAAATTAAGCAAAAAATATATATAAAAATATATAAACTTCCACCTAGACAAAAATCTGAGTTAACCACTCGAGCAAAACGTATATCTATATATAAACATTAACTTATATTTATAAACCCAAAAAAGCTTTAGTGAACATAATTTACTATTGCCGTAAAAAAAACAAAAACATATGATTTCGATTCCATAATATTTTGTTTCGGCACAGTGGGCATGCTTGTACTGATCATTCAGTTTTATAAATTAATAATAAATATGTGCTAAAGGAGATATGAAATTGGCATGTCAATATAACAGCAGCTGCTTTACGGGTCGAGCAAATAATTACAAGTGGACAAAGTCACTAATATAGTGCGATGTTGCTTTTATTTTTCAATCAGAAATAATAAGAGTATTGATTTAAATCAAATATTTTCTGCTAAAAGAAATCTCAAGTATTTTAGTTTTCCTCTTTAGAAGTATAGTAGGACACTAGCCACTAGGACATAACAAGTCCTGATTAATTTATAGTACGAAATAATATCGATTAGAACAAAATGTCTTTTGATACTAACATATTTTTTTAACAAAAGACAAAAATACATATATTTTAGCCAATTACATGAATTTATTAGTCTATCGTACGCAGCATGCCAATGTGCATAAGAATTTTTGTAGTGAACGGTGATCTTCCCGGTTTTGTCAAGAATTCGTAATTAACATGTTCTTGTTCTTTTTCTAGAGTTATTCCTAGTGATCGTCTGAATCAATCACGCATGGTTTTAAAATTGATTTCAGTAGGTATATCTTATAATTTTTAACCACAAAGCAACTTTAAGCATATAACAAATAAAACAAACATTAGTTATTGTATTTTCTTTAGTAGTTGGATACTTTCCATGATCAGAAGTATTTTCTATCGAAGTTAATATGCTAAAAAATATTGTAACTAATAACGTTAACATGCTACAGCTTTGTTGTATTGATACATACATACAGTACAACATTTTTAGATCAAGCCTCCAAAGTTTTTTTTTTCCTTCGGAATTACCTATATTATTATGAATAAAATAACATTGTATATTTTAATTTGAAATTAAAATACCAAATGTCAAAACCAAAAAAGCTTTGCAGTAATTACCGCATATATTTTTGTAATACTATATAGTCATTTAAATTCCCTCCATATGTTTGTTTTTTTTGGATAAAAATATTTGTGTAGTATAAGTATCTTTCTGTGAAGAATTTGTAACACGTTTAACATAAAGAACGTAAAAATTTAAAATATAAAAAAATCGCGTTAGGTTATACGAGAAATTCACTGTTTCTTTCTTCATTTCAGTTTTAGATGATTTCTAAAAAATTGCTCGAAAATAATGAAAGTAAATATCTCAAAGTGCAAAAATCGCACTGAATGACCCTCTATATAAAGACGCACATAGATCAAAGCTAATTACTCTCAAGAAACAAAGTAAAAGGAAAAAAAAAAGGGAGAACAAAGAGAAAAACAGATTCTCCTCTGTTGAGATTCTCAATTTCTTTTCATGAATATAAACTGAACACAATTGGTGTCTAGAGATCCGAAGAAGAAAAAGCTTGAAAATCCTCTGTTTCTTCTGTTTTCAGGGTTTTCTTCTTCTTCGGTTCCTCTCCTCACCAATGGATTCTTTTACTACTCAGAAACCTAAATCAAGAAAGATGAAGAAGATTGCAAAAAAGTCTCGTGTTCAAACAATCTTGGATCTCATTTTCCGGGCGATTGAGATAATTGTTGTTTCGGTTACAGTAGCAAAGCTCTGCTATCAGCTCGTTATCACGTTTGAAGATTCTGGTGTCGCGGCGGTTATTTTCGCCAACCGTAATCTTGCGTTTGTTTTAGGAAACACGATAATCATCGCTCTGATCGCTAAATCCGGTCTACTACTGAATCAAGACCTCGATCAGAAGTGCAAAAGCAACGATCTTTACGAGGAGTTTATTCGGGAGAGCTCAAGGAGAGATGAAATTTCACGAGCCAAGATGAGAAACAGAGAAAAACAGAGTGGTGAAGAAAAGAACGAGACTAAACAGAGCATAACTGAAACCAGAGACAAACAGAATGCAGCAGAGAAAGAGACGCAGAGCACAACTGAGAACATAGCAAAACAGATCATTTCGGCTCAGGCGGGGAGACATACTGTAATTGAGAAGAAGACGAAACAGAAGACTTCTGAGAAGAGGGAAAAACAGAGCAAACCTGAGAAATTTAGAAAACAGAGCAATTCAGTAAAGCGAGAGAAACAGAGCAATTCAGTAAAGCGAGAGAAACAGAGCATAGTTGATCATCAGGAGGTAACTGTGAAGAAGATGGAGAAACAGAATTTGGCTGAGAAAAGGGAAATTCAGAGTTACCAACGAAGCCGGTCGGAGAATCTGGAGGGATTGGAGAAGATTTCTTTAGGAAGATTAAGGAGATCGGAGACGGATGCGTCTTTCGAAAGATTTGATTCCGACGATGAACTCCGATACAAGATCGAGTCTTTCATTGCGAGGCAGAGTAGGAATCAAAATGATGATTAGTTTTGTCTCTAATTCAGATAGAAATATCTGAAAATACAAAAAGACAACAATTTATGCAAATAATATTCAAGTGTCTGCTATAAAAGGGTAAAACTATTTCACACCGTTAGCATAAATAACTGCTGGTAATCCAGTGGTTAATATTTTAAACTTAAATATATACTTTAGTTCTTGTCAAGTTATATTTTGAACCATTTTATTTTAAGAAATAATTTTTATTTCGGTTTATTTTTTTTCTCTTTGTATATTTTTGGTCATTCTATAATAGTATATAGTTATATACCATTTATTGTGTTGTGATCTTCAAATACTACTTTTGGAAGAATATTGATCGGGTACTATTGCCAAATGATTTATGCTAATTAGAAAAATACTAATTTAAGAAGTATATTTACTGTTAATAATACAAAAAGGCAAAAAGATCCATGATGATGTCTTATATGCACAAGACTAGGATATGTTTCTACAAAAACCTTAGAAAATACTCATCATTTTCCCTAATTACTTTTCCGGTTTTCCCTAATTACTTTCAGATTTAGAAAACCCATAGACGGCCCCATGTTGACAAAAAAGAAAACGCTAATTTTTATGAATGAAATCAAGAAAAGTTAAAACCTTGTCACTCTCTCTCTCTCTAGATTTGTTCTCAAAGATTTTGGCGTTAATTTTGGAGCCGTTCTTAATTTGGGGTGAGAAGGAGAGAGATATATATCTCTTTCTTCTTGTCTCCTTAATTTGGGGTGAGAAGGAGAGAGATATAGTTCTTTCTTTTAATCTACAGGTAAAAAATATCTAGAAATGTGTTATTCTTTCTCACCAGAAACCCGCTGAATTTCACCCATATTGAATCGAATCTTCCGATAGATGATATATTACTCTAATCACACAAAACGTGAGATTTATGATACTTTTGGTTTATGTTATTAATTCTAATTAGCTTAACAAGATAAATGTCTGGGGATGCATGTAACATGTTCGATGAAAATGTCTAAATGGAGTTTCTTGTTTGATTTTTTTTTTCAGTTTCACCGATTGATTGTTCGCCAAGGAAATGGAAGAGAGTTTTTATTAAATTTCTTTTTTTATTTATTTATTTAATAGGGACTTAAACCATGGCGGATACAATGGTTGCACATATGGATCGACATAATAAGCTTGGTAAGATGAGAACTTTGTCAATCTTTTTCAGCCTACATTTTATTTATTTATTTGTTCTGTTATTACAAGCAAGGATCTTGCAGATGTTGAGATGTCAGAAGATGACAAGAAATTAACAAAGCTATGCTCTCTGAAGAAGAAGGCAATAAATGCGACGAACAAGTTTAAGCACTCGATGACCAAGAAAGGTCGAAGGCATAGCCGTGTGAGGTGTGTCTCAATCGTTGATGAAATCGACACAGAAGAGTTGCAAGCGGTTGATGCTTTCCGTCAAGCTCTTATCTTAGACGAACTACTTCCCTCTAAACACGATGATCATCATATGATGCTTAGGTCCGTCTTCTCAGTACCAACCTCTATTTCCAATTTCTTCCTTTGCATTCCTCTGATTAATCGAATCTCTCAGGTTCTTGAGGGCAAGAAAGTTTGATACCGAAAAGGCAAAGCAAATGTGGGCTGATATGCTTAACTGGAGGAAAGAATATGGCGCAGACACGATCATGGAGGTGACCTCACTTTTCTCGATTCTCGTTTTGTCCATCTTTCTCTCTAGTTAAAGCCTCTCTCTCTCTCTCTCTCTTTCTTCTTCTTCCAGGACTTTGATTTTAAAGAAATCGAAGAAGTGGTTAAGTATTATCCACAAGGGTATCATGGTGTTGACAAGGAAGGAAGACCTATCTACATCGAGAGGCTAGGCCAAGTCGATGCCACGAAGATGATGAAAGTGACCACAATCGATAGGTACGTCAAGTACCATGTGAAAGAGTTCGAGAAGACTTTCAACGTCAAATTCCCCGCTTGTTCCATCGCTGCCAAAAGACACATTGATCAGAGCACAACGATCTTGGATGTTCAAGGCGTGGTATGTGCTCAAATAAGCCCTAGCTAGCTTACAAGTTTTCCCCTAATAATATCTCTGTAAGATGGCATCTTGGATCGTTCGTTCTTTATGGTGTTTTTCCATTTGCAGGGGCTTAATAACTTCAACAAAGCTGCAAAAGATCTTCTTCAGAGTATTCAGAAAATCGACAACGATAACTATCCTGAGGTTCAGTTTCATGCCTTTCCTTCTTCTTTGAGTTGCTGATGGTTTTGACACAGAACCTTGATGACCTCTGTGTTTGTCTTTCACTCTAGACTCTGAACCGTATGTTCATCATCAATGCTGGTTATGGGTTTAGGCTTGTATGGAGCACAGTGAAATCTTTCCTTGACCCAAAGACTACAGCCAAGATTCACGTAAATTAAGCTCTTTTTTTTTTTGTTTTCATCCGCGCGCGTCTCGGTTAGTTAGTGAAAAGCCACTCTTTCTGTTCACAATGGCAGGTTCTAGGCAACAAATACCAAAGCAAACTGCTAGAAATAATTGACGCCAAGTGAGAACTTGACAAGTTTTTACATATGACCTTGGAACTGTTGCTTTATCTTCAAATGCGCATTTAAAAACCCTTTCTTCTCATTCTTTGTTTAGTGAACTGCCTGAGTTTTTAGGTGGTAAGTGCACCTGCACAGATAAAGGTGGATGTATGCGTTCAGACAAAGGTCCATGGAACGACCCCGAGATCTTCAAGGTAAAGAAACCGATATATCAATGAATGATTCATTTATTGTTATGATACAATACAACTTGTGATTCTGATTCATAAGTACACTATATACACAGTTGGTTCAGAACGGTGAAGGTAGATGCCCGAGGAAGAGCTTGTCAGGGATCGAGGAAAAGACGATCTCAGAATACAAGAACGAGACTAAGGTAAAACAAAAGCAATGACTTTGAAAAAAAAAATTGGACTTTTTCTTTCTTTGAAGTAAAATCTAACCTTTTTTTTTAAAAAAAATAACAAAACAAGTTGAAGAAATGCGAAACGTTCGAACCAGAAGAGACTACTTATAAGCATTCTCCTACGGAGAAGGAGAACAAGTTCATCGACAAGACTGTGGATGCTGCTGCTTGGCCTAGAAAGCTTCACAAGGCTAACAATGACTTTGCCGAGTCTAAAGGTTAGTATTCTGGTCAGCTCAAACCGGGTTTCGGTATAAGTTTCTTAGACCGTGAAACTCTCTCGATTCAGATTTAAACCCGTTGGAGAGTAAAGGCTACTTATACGGCGGCGTGATGGCATTACTTATGGGGATAGTTGGCGTGATGAGGCTAACCAAGAACATGCCAAGGAAGCTCACCGAGACGAGCGGCACAGACGGAGTCACGATTATGTCCAGGCACGACTACATGGCGATGGTGAAGAAGATAACAGATCTGGAGGAGAAATGCAACTCCATGGATGCTCAGGCTGCCTTATCTCTCGAGAGGGAGAAGATTCTCGACGCTGCACTTCGTCGTGTTGACCAGCTCGAGCTTCAGTTGTCTGAAACCAAGAAGGTGAAGCTCTCCTTCTCTCTCTCTCTCTCATTACTCTCTTATTCTGTTTTGTGACTGCTCTGTTTTTACTCTGTAATTTAAAAAAACAAAAAACAATTAGGCGCTGGACGAGACCATGGCGAGGCAACATGAGGTAATGGCGTACATCGAGAAGAAGAATAAGAAAAAGAGGAGGAAGGTAAGAAGATCACAAACTGACACCTTAAGATTGATTAATTACTTTTATTGCTTATCGAAAGTACATGGAAATAACATTTTCTTTTTGCATTTTCAGTTCTTATTTTTCTGAAAGACTGCTTCAGAGTGCGCTACAGTAGGAAGAGCGTCTTAAGCCTCAGGCTTCTAAAAGAAGCCTAGAAAATAAAATACATTTCCATTTTCTATAATTTTATGAACTGTAGAAGATATAATGACGAAGTTTTGTTTGACTGTGCCCAAGGACTCCACATTTTGATAATATGAAAGAGAGAATTCCCATCTCTTTCAACTAAACATGAGATTAAACTCGTTTTGTTTCAATAATTTGTTCTGATCTCGTTCTTACTAAGCGGAAACCTAAGAAGGGAAATACATCTTCTTTTTCTTCTTCTTCTAAAAACAGAACATTTGCTTCCTCTTCTTCTTCTTCTGGAAACAAAAACAATATTGACGATGAGTTTAGGGTTATTACATAATTGTTCAAATTCTTAATAAAATTTTAGGTTACGGCTTTAAAAAATTGAAGAAAAAACCGACCTGGTACTGAGCTACCTCCTGACGGTCAATGTAAGCGAGTAATTCTTCTTGTCTCATCAGAGCTTCATAAAGAGCCTGCTCAGAATAAGGAGCCGTTTTTAGAGAGCAAGAAACGTCTCAAGGTTCTAGTTTTGGTGGGTTTTATTTAGCTGTTGAACCTGGTATTCAATCATTACCTTCTTAGTGGCTATGAGCTCGGCTTCAAGGGCGTCTACACGGCAGACAGCTGCGTTAAGCAGTTCTTCTTTCTCATAAGGCATCTCAGATGGTTTTGACTGGAGAGCTCCAATTTTCTCCTCAAGTTCGGTTAATTTCTTCAGCACTGAATTGAGGAGATCAGCTTCCTCTGTAGCAGCGTTTCCTTCAATTTGTGGTTGGCTTGTAGGCGGTGGAAGCTGCTTGGTCACAACACGGTATGATACTGTGCGGAAGAATGTTAGAATCGCCATCACAATCGCCATGAAAATTACTAGGAGACGAGCACTGAAGCTTTCATGATCCTTTGGGACATTTGGAGGAATACGAACTCCTGCAAAAAGAGATAAGAGTGTTTCAATCATTTTTTTTCCCAGTATTTGATGCCAAAATTGGAAGCTTTCTTTTACCTAATCATAAAAAAGTTACCTTTCGATGGAACCCTATTGATAGCGGCGGGTTTAACCTTCCATGTGGCGTCAACAGCTTTGTCAACCATTGGAACATACTCATCATAACCAGCAAAACTACCGGCAAAGCTCGTTTCACCAGAACCAATCTTTGCCTGCAAAATAATCACTAGGAATATTCAGAACCCGTGGTGGATCAAGAAATCTACCAAAAAAAAAAAAACATAAAAGATAGAGAGAGAGTGAATTAAGTTATACCTCTTCACGAACAGGGGTCAAGCGGAGATGAGAATAACTCTTTACTGCCTTTGGAGACACGACGATATCTTCAGCTTCAGAACCTGATTCTGCAGTTGATGTGTCACTTCCCTTTATCCATGGATAAGATGGCTTTGCATAAGCAATGACTTTTCCCTCGCTGTTCAGAACTTTCACCACCTGCTTCGCGCGGTGAGCTCCCCCGTGAAGTACCATCTGCAGTAGTAAACCATTTATTTCGAAATTTAATAAAATGGACAAATATGAAAGCTTGGGTGTGTAAAGAGATATCAAAGGCCAAATAGGTAACCTTCAAGATATCCGGATTTTTCCAAGGCCCTTTATCAGAAAGCATACAACCTCCCTGATCTGCGCAAGTACATGCGCCACCCAAAAATTCAGGCAACTCACTGTAACAAAAGAAAGATACATTAGTGATGTAAGCAGAAAAATCGAGCCATTCTAGAGGGGGTAAAAAGATTAAGAGTTCATGCTACACACCTGGAATCGATAACCTCGAGCAATTTACTCTGATACTTGTATCCGAGTACCTACATTACAATACAGAACAGTCCAGGTGAATGTCAGGAGCCTTTAGATAGAACTAAGCCAAGGAAAAGTATTAACTTACATGAATCTTAGAAGTTGTTTTGGGGTCTAGAAAAGTCTTCACAGTGCTCCAAAGCAGACGGAATCCGGGCCCTGCATTGATGATAAACATTTGGTGGAGAGTCTCCGGATAATTGTCTCCATCAATCTTCTGCAACCGGGTAATAAGCTCGCGGGCAGACTTGGTGAAGTTCTTTAATCCCACTCCTTGGACGTCCAAAATAGTTGTACTTGAATCAATATGCTTCTTTGCAGCAATTGTGCAGGAAGGGAACTTGATCATAAAACTCCTCTCGAACTCCTTTACATGATATCTTAGATATCGGTCAATCGTTGTAACTTGCATCAGTTTGTTAGGATCAACTTTCCCTAGCCTTTCAATATACACAGGCCTGCCTTCTTTATCTACACTGTGATAACCGTGCGGGTAATATTTAAGAACATCATCAATCTCTTCAAACTCAAAATCCTGAATGATAGTGTCGGTACCGAATTCCTTCCTCCACTGGATCATATCTGCCCACATGTGCTTTGCTTTCTCAATGTCGAATTTCCTGGCCTTCAAGAACCTCAGCATCATGTGATAGTCATCGTGTTTAGTGGGAAGCAACTCCTCCATTACCAATGCTTGTCTAAACTCATCAACTGCCTGAAGCTCCTCGACATCACGAACATCTTCGATGGAGACAGAACTGACACGGCCTTCGTTTTTTCTTCTCTTCTTCTTGAGAGAATGCTTGAATTTCGTAGATGCATTGATGGCTTTCTTTTTCAAAGAACCGATTCTCGTTCTCCTCTCGTCTTCTGAATTCTCAAAGTCAGACTTTCTTTCTTTTTTCTCATCACTGCTCAAGAATCCTTCGAAACCTGTCAAAAAATAATAATAAAGTTTACTAATTTATTAACATTTCTTCACTAAACACTGAAGAAAACACATCCAACAATTGGCCAAAAGCCAAACTATTTCAAGAACTATCAAACAGCTGAAAATTACGACCTAACTTCTCTAAGCCCATTATTCGAAACAAAGTCAAATCGTCTCTCTATCCTAGCTTTATGCTTCAGTGAAGCCCTAGACAAGCAAATCCCTCGAAATCGCATAGAAAGAAACCCAAGGATTAAAAGATAGCAGAAAATGAAACAAAACAGATCTGATCCACTTACATGGCCTTGCGAATCGATCGACCGGACCTGACATCTGATCCTTTTACTAAATGAACGGAATAAGCAAAACTCTCGCTCAGATAAAAAATTCTCGAGATTGAAAATGCTGATCCACCAATCAATCCACCACACCAACACGAATCGCTCTTTTTTCTTGCGAATCTACTTCCTCACCTTAACCAGAAAACCCCTCAAATTTCGCCAAAATTAAAAAAAAAAAAAAAGGAGCAAGCTTTGAGAGGTAAAAGTGGAGTAGAATTCGGAGCGAACTCTGGACTATTTTTTGTTTTTTTTTGCTTCTAAAATTTTAATCGTTTAGCAAAAGAAAAAAAAAACTAAATTTATTTACCTGACACCTCTATTATTTACACTCGCTTCCTATTGTGAACCCCACACTTTTTGCTTCCTTCAGATCTTTTCCCTACTTTCAATTGCATAAACTTATTTTTATAGAATGCAAATTAAATCATCTCAAAACCAAAATATTTTCCAGTTCATACTTTCATTCATATTTGTTTTACCTTTCTCAATATTATAATTTTCTTTTTGTGCTTTACATTGTTGGTCTTATTTTATCATTTTCAAAGGTTACAAAATCAATAATATATTACTTCTTTAGCAAAAAAAAAATTATAAGTAGATAATAGAGACGAAAAATCAAATATGAATCACCAACAATATGGCAACAACAGATTTGGCCGAAGGAAACATGGTTGGGCATTAAATGTAGAAATCGAGGTTCATCTGTAACGAAATCTAATGTAGGGCTTATAAATAATTATAATCTGAGAGAGGGGCGTGATTATAATTAAAAAAAATAGAAGTGAGAAAGTTGTACAATTGATTCGCTTTTTGTCACCAGCCGACGAAGATCTGACGGTCGTTAATGGCCGTAGGTGAAAGTTTAACGGATCTACGATCAATAGGATGTAACGTCAGTATCAGAGAAGCACAGAAGAAAAAGTTGGAGAAACAGAAAAAGAATTTAAAAAGATCGACGAGAATTTCGCCGACAAAACGGAGCAGTAAACGATGAGTCAACAGTCGTTTGGCCATTAGTTGTCGGCTTTAATTAAATACTTTTATTCCTTTTAAATACATAATTAATACATTTGAACAGTTGTTTCTACAAATTTATACTCAAAATAAATAAACGTGATTAATTAGAAGAAAAAATAACTAAGTAATGATTTTATTACGACCAAAAGACTAATTTGTTTATGTAGTTTACATATCGCTTTTATAAGAATTCCAAAAATCATCATCTCCCTCATCTTCACCGTCCGATCTCACGCCATTTTCAATATCCCCACCGTCCGATTCCTTAACTCCAGCTATTCCATCACCAGCTCGCTCAGTTTCCTCAGACTTGGTCGGCTCCTCCTACACATGTCAACACAACAGTGTTTTATAACGATGGGTACTTATGGAAAAAAATTAACAGATTTTGGCGGCAACTTGAAGAAGAATATAACGGAATATCCGAATGTGTAATTACATTCTCGGGAACATCAGTAGTTGTCTCTGCCTCTGCTCCAGCTTCTTCTTCTTCTTCTTCTTCTTCTTCTTCTTCTCCTTCCCTTGCAGCCGCAGCTTCTTGTTGAAGCTTCTTAATCACATTCTGGAAGTGAGTAAGGTCTGCAAGAAAAAAACACATGCTAAATTTCTATGGCTCACCCAAGGCACTAAATAGAGAGAGAGAGAGAGAGGGAGAGAAAGGATCTCTCACGTTTGACCGACTTGATAATGCATCATTAAGTTTCAATGGATACCGGCGTTCTTCCAATTTGAATTTCAGCTTAATTTGTTCACGCGTTCTATTAGGAAACAGTTGCTGTACCATCGATAGATTGCTCCCAAACTCTTGAATTCCCTAATCAAAACAAAAAAAAAGACAATAAAATCTATGATGATTATGAACAGACAATATCTCCGGTAAAGGTTATTTGCCATTTCGATCTAAAAAAGAAAGAACCTGCATTTTAAGATTCACTGAGATCAAGTTTATTACCTCATAGAAGAGTTCGGTATCTTGTTTTGACCATCGAGTTCTGGAAGTCTTGTTCATGTACGTTTGATAGTTAACCGGTGAGTCCGGTTTAACTACGTTAGTTTCTTGATTTTCGTTCTCCTCTATACCAAATTCATCTTCTGCGTCAAAACCTTGAGAATAATACTGGTTATCCGATGCATTTGTATTACTGCACATAACACACACTCCATCAGATGAAGTAAACAAACTAAAACACTCTGTTTTTACCATCTCCTACTATCCATCTTCTCTGACATGAATATAGTACCTTTCTTGGGCAGGCGGCACAACAGCAGCTCCCTTTGCTTCCTTTTTCTGTATATTAGCAAGAAATAGACAACAAGAAAAGTTCAGAAATAAACAACACAGATACGCAAAAAAATTCCATAGAATCTGTATAAACAATGATTCTTACCTCCATCCATTCTTTATATTCAACAAGGCGAAGCATATCTTTAATAGGCAGAAATCTGATTTCGTCATCCGGGGTTTCAAGCAATTCCTTCTCCACTAGAATAGGGAAATGCATAAAAATAGTTGGTCAGATGCTACAGATTCTATAATTACCGACATAAGCTTTTGGTGCAGCTAGTTACCAGTTCTTTTTCTCTGTCGACGACTTGAATGCTTGAACTTCTTCTTCTGCGGATTTTCGCTAGTCTTATTTGGATCCTCTTCACCGGTGATTTTCCGCTTTCGAGCAGTAGCTCCCTTCGATCTCCCTTTTTTCCTTTCTCTTCCAGGCCGTTCTTCTACAGTACTCCCCAAACAATTTTCTTCCTCTCCTATAACTGTATTGTTTGTCCGTTCTTCGTGTTCCCGTCCCCCAGAAGCATTTTGCGCTTCCATCTCAGGAACCTGTTCAAAAAAAAAAAAATTACAAGCAGAACCAATTTGAATATTTGCCAACTTAAAACAGTACACTTAGAAAAGCAAACCCAAATTGCCAAAAATTCTTACCGTTTCTCTGGGTTCTTCTTGAAGCTCTCTATAAAATGTAGTATTCGTATTGAAATCGTTTCTTGATTCCACATTGGCCATAAACTCAGACTCGTTAGTACCCGTTGTAAAATAACCAGTATCATCAACAGAGTAATGAGACTCAGGTTCTTCAATCACAGTGTCGAGCAACCTCGGCTTTGGCTGGAACTTTCCAGTATGGTGCTCTACACAAGCACAACATTATAATTCGGTTAGTAGATATATTAAACAGAATTTAAGCATATGAATGTCGATTTTCAGTGAAAATTACCATATGCTCTGGTCATGCCTTCCTCCTGTACAATATCAAGAGTTTCCATGTCCAGATGAGACTCTTCCTCCTATAACAACATTAAAACTTACAAAAGCAGTTTTAAAACTGAAGTAAAAGAAGTGAAACGTCGGCTTTATAAAGTGTATTCACACATACCCTTGTTTGCATCCTTTGAGTTTGAACACGGATAACTTCATCCGTTTCAGGAGTAACAAAATCTCCAAACGCTGCAGAATCTTGTGCTCGAGGATCATCAGGATTTATGCCATCATCACATCTTTTTCCTTCCAAATTCACGTTAGTACAAGCACGAAGAACAGATGGTTCCATACACCAACTAACCCTTCCTAAGAATACATCTACATTCTGAGAGAAGAAAAAAAACGTTAAAAACATGAAGCATAGACCAAAATAAAAAAAAGCAAATTCAAAAGGTACAAAGGAAACCACCTAACCTCTTTAGATATTGTTCCACCGGTAGACTGGTTGATGGTTCCACTATCAGGCACAATAGTCTCAGAAGTTGAAAACTCTGCAAATACAGAAATCACACCTTAAATCAAATACTTTCAACTTCGAACAACATACAGAAAAAAAAATTGGTTGAGGGAAGAAACAAAACTGTTGGGATAAGCCGATGATGCATCTACAGAAACCAGATGTTCGCTTTGTGTTGAGAGTTTTTCCTTGGCAACATCGGTAGGGAGAGTTGGTTGGGAGGTTAAAAGAGAGACTTGCTTCTTCTTGGGTTGTGGTCTACCTTTCGGTTTAAACCTTGCACCAGCCTTAGCTATATTAAATCCAAACTCATATGCTTCAGCCAAATTAATCCAAAAACGTCATGAGTAATCAAAGTGGACAAAAAGAAAACCCCCCAATTACCTGCTGGTGCAGCGTGATCCAAGGGTTGATCATCGAAATCTAAATCCATCGACTTCGTTTCACAAATACTCTGCCTCTAACCAAAGTGTCACCTCCCTCTTTAATACAAGACGAAAGCTACTGTCAAACAATCAAATATTTATCTACGTGAGCAATACGCAGACGAAAACAAGATCAATGACAAATCTCAAGTCTCACCACACACACATTCAGAAAAGCAAAAGCAAGGAAAAAATGTTGTTATCAAGCAGACGTCCAAAGGATAAACAAAGAAACACTTGGTGTTTCCCAGCAAAGCTTAGAAATTAGAACAAACTGATCATAATTTCCAGAGAAAATTCAACTACTATCGAATAAATGGGTTTCTAACTTCAGGTCTTTGTAACGGGAGATACACATATCTCAGCACAAAAATCAACGGCGATTCGTTACTCGGATGGGGAATCGGAAACAAGAAATACCCGATAAACGACGAGACGATCCATTGTTGCAGTCGCTAGGGCTTACCGCTACTCGGAAACAAGATTGGCCGGGAAAGGTTTGCGTTTATTATTTTTAGATATCCTTACAGCAATTGAATAAAGATCGTGCGGGCTAGTGGTAATTGCTTGAAGATTGGTTTTGACCTCGCGCTAGGTTCGATTTCCTTTCTCCTCACAAACTCTTAAATGCTTAAACACTTAAGCCGTGAATGCGCGCTTAAATGGGCTCAATTTTACGGTGTTTCGAAAGGTAAAGCCCAAATCTATTTTCCAAGTTCCTACGAAATGAAACAAAGCTTTTCCACTGTCTTACCAAATCTTATTTCTGCGTTCGCAGATCAATCTCTTCCTCGTTTCGGTATTCCGCCAAAAGTAGCAAGTCTTTGTCTTCGTCTGTTTATTCATCTACCGCGTCTAGCTTCTGAATTTTTAGTTTATATATTTTTTCTTCATATCGCAAGGTTAGTGTTTGTGTGTGTTCTAATTTGATTTTTCATTTCCTGAATTCCTCCAAGTTTTTCTAAGATCTGTGATCAGATTCTTAACCATCGCCTTTTAGCTGCTCAAAATTCGTTTGATTCGTCTTTCCACAAGCTTCTTGGCTTCGTATGTCTCAGAATTATCTGCGTTTTCGTATCCTTTGAGATCGGTTTTAGAGTTTGAGCTATGGTGAAGGAGAGTGAGTATTACGACATTTTAGGCGTCAAGACTGATGCCTCAGCTGCTGAGATTAAAAAAGCATATTATATTAAAGTAAGTCTTCTTCCTCTTCTTCTCTGTGCGATCATCAGATTTCGATCTCTTTGAGTTTAAACTAGTTTTCAGGTAGATTGTCACAGAGCAATAGAGTATATGCTTAGATTCGTAGATATTGGAATGTTAATATCAGATACTGGATTATGAAAAAAACTGGTTATCCGAATTTGGAAGCTTTTGGTTTTGATTATATGATCAATTTCTTTGGCTCTCTTTATTTTGGGGGAGCAGGCAAGGCAAGTTCATCCAGACAAGAACCCTGGTGATCCTCAAGCTGCTAAAAAATTTCAGGTGAATCAAGAGAAAAATTCTTTTTTTTTTTCCTTCACTCTGGGTAAAAATATATAATCATCTCTACTTTTAGGTTTATAAGTTTCCTCAACGACCTTACGAGTGTTTGATTGATTAAATACTCTCGATCACTTGAATTCTTACACTGCTCATGTGAATGAAGGTACTAGGTGAAGCTTACCAGGTTCTGAGCGATCAGGAGAAGCGAACTGCTTATGACAACTATGGCAAAGAAGGCGTTCAACAGTAAGTTTGCACGCTATTCCCCTTTCCGTATGATGCATTCTACATTTGATGCAAATTCCGGTTTGTCCCACACTTAAGGTCATTCATGTCAATCCTAGAGATAACCTCTAAGATACATATGCATCATTTGAGAATGTGATTGGTGTAAATGCTTAGTTTCTATTGGATAGTATGTTAATTATTATTATTATTATTATTTTTGCAGGGATGCAATGGTTGATCCTGCAGCTGTATTTGGCATGCTCTTTGGTAGCGAGCTGTTTGAGGATTATGTTGGGCAACTTGCTCTTGCTTCAATTGCATCACTCGATGCAGAGTTAGAATCACATGAGCCTGAGACTAGAAGACAGATGCTTCAAGACAAGATCAAGGTACGTTGTTTTCTTTCTATTCGACTGTTTTCTTTAGCCCTGATGTTTATGATTCATCTGTGCAGGCGATGCAAAAGGCAAGGGAAGACAAGCTTGTCGCTACATTGAAAATCAAACTCGAACCATTCGTGGAAGGGCAAACCGATGAATTTGTAAAGTGGGCTAACGCAGAGGCAAAGCGGCTCTCTACAGCTGGTAAGCAATCCTTTCTCAAGCGCTCTTATAACTTTCGGCTTTTTCCGCTCCTCAATTTAATCATACAAATGTTTTTTTTTTTTATATATTCTTTGGGTACTGGCAGGTTTTGGTGAAGCAATGCTGCACACTGTGGGTTACATTTACACTAGAAAAGCTGCGAAAGAACTCGGAAAGGACAAACGTCTCATGAAAGTACCGTTCTTAGCTGAATGGGTGCGTGACAAAGGCCACAAGATAAAATCTCAAGTGATGGCTGCTTCTGGTAAAAAAAAAAAAATAAACAATCTTTAAGCTGAAATTTTGGCTTCCATAAGCGGGTACACCGAAAAAGCATTTTTTTCGTAGGTGCGGTTTCGTTACTTCAGTTGCAGGACGAAGTGAGCAAGCTGAATCAGGAAGAGAACAGAGAGGAGCATATTCAGAAAGCCATTGAAGCTAAAAAAGATGCAATGCTTCAATCCCTTTGGCAAATCAATGTGCTTGACATCGAATCAACCTTATCTCGTGTCTGCCAAGCGGTAATATCCACCGTGATGACGATCCTATTATTATGACATCAATTATTCCATTGTAAGAACTAAATCTTGTTGTCTTTTTTTTGTTTGTTTGTTCTTCTCAGGTGCTTAAAGATCCAAGTGTTTCAAAGGATGTTCTTCGTGCTAGAGCTAGAGGATTGAGGAAGCTCGGAAACATTTTCCAGGTGAGTCATAGAACAGAAACAAACAAAAAAAACATAAAGTTCGTTGTCTAATATAACAGAAAACTCTGGTACGCATTTTATAGGGTTCTAAGAAACCATACTCGAGAGAAAACAGCTTGCGTCACGAAGAAGCCACCGTGAAACTTCACGCCGGAGATTCCTCGAAACCGGCGACGTAAATTAAGAAAACCAAAATTCGTATTTAGCGTTTTGAAACGAAACGACCGTTTTTAAAAAAATTCTTGAATGTATGGTAACGATTCCTATTTTTTTTTCTCCTTTAAATTCATATTGTGCGAAGTGATGGTGTCGTCTTTGTATTCCCTTTCTTCATTGAATCTTTTTCTTCCGTGTTGGCATCACAAAACTCCAGGTCGCGTATCCTGGAAGATAAATGGACAGAGACATAGTTTTTTCCATATTTTATAATTTGGCCCCTCGAATATTATAAATTTTCGATTTTGGAATCTAGTTTTAGCTTGAGAGGCCCCATCTAACGACGTCACTACGAAAAGTTGCCGGTTAATTATTCGTTCTCCCTCCGTTTTTGTCCTTTTACGTGACGTGGCACTACTCACCGTAAGTCACTTTAATTCCGCTAACTCTGACGGCGTCACTTCAATTCCGCTAACTCTGAGCATTAAACCGAACCGATTTGTCTTGGTTATAGGGTGTAATATTTCATTGTTTTTTCTTTTAAGAATAATATACGTATAGATTTGTGGATTCAATTACTTAAAGAAGCTTAAAGTCTTGAGACATTTGATAAAATATTGATATATCATATGATCGAAATGAATCAATTCATCTCGGTTCGGCTTTGTGTCTAGTACCAATACACACCTACCGGATTTTAACGGCGTGAAATAAACCGTCAGAAAAGACTTGTATTCGTCTCTTTCCCTCTCCTCTCTTTCTCTCTCCTCTCTTTCTCTCTCTCTATACGAGGGAAGGAACAAAGCAAAGGCTCGAAGTGCTTGTTTCTCTTTCCTTCCTTTCTCGCTCTAACAGACCCTCCTCTCTCTCTCCCTCTTCCTCTCTCTCTCAAACTGTCATCTTTCTCTTCTCCGTCGACGTTCTGGGACTTCGGGAGCAGGTTCGAGGTTCGTGACTCTTTTAGCATCTGTTTGATTTGTTTTGTCATCCTTTTTTTCTTTCGGAATTTTATTTTCGGGTATCGAATTTAGGGTTTCCGTTTCTATTTTGAGTCACCTCAACATGGCCTGTAGATTCTCCGGCCTTAATTTCGGATCTGTTTGATGCTAATTATGACACTTATGTGTTCCATTGAAATTTATTTACTAGTTCTTTTGGCTTCCCTAAATTTGTTTTTTTTTTTTTAATTTCCGGATTTTCTTAGTGAAGATAGTCATGGCAGTTCAGTGATTTAGAAACTCGTGGGCAGGAGATAGATCGATATGATTCCTTCTCTATCTTCCCTATTGAGATTTTTCTCTTAGCGCGCAAGTACGTTCTTCGAACTGTTGCTGTTATTTGATCCATGACTAGTAAGCTCCCAGAGATCTTATCCGTGGGTCTCTGACTCTCCGCTAAGTGATATGCAACCTGGACTTGAATCGGGTTTGTCTGGCTCTGTGATGATTTGATTGTCTGATTGAATTTTTGGTTTCTCAGCTGCTGATGCAGTTTGAATTCCTCAATCGTCGTTTCTTAAATTGATTAAGTGTTGTTTGCTTTGCAGTCTAAGGTAAACGGGATTGTTGTCCGTGTTCTACTGACTATTCATTCGCCAAGAAATTTCTGCACTGTCTTGCTTACTAGTTGCGAGTTCACACGTTTCGGATATGGGGAATGCTTGTTGTGTCGCTGCTCGAGACAAAATGGTCGTGCCTAATTCATCAGTTGGTGAGAATCTGCAGAGGAGCAATGTCAGGCATTCTCCAACTTGGAGTTTCCGGTGGGATAATAGAGGACGTGTAGCTGGTGAAGAAACCTCTCTCAGCTGGTTATCTGATGGGATTAGTCGGAACGATGGTTCTGAGATCAAATTTGAATCCGCATTTGTATCATCTGAAGGCTCCCCTTTGGACAGTTTTCGGACACAGACAATGCAGAAATCTCCGGCCTCAGGTAAATAATTTCAGCTTTTTTTTTTTGTTTTTGTTCCTTGGAACTTGTGAACTTGAGGGAAACACATGTATGGTGTTACTCACTTGGGAGATTTTTCTCACCTGACCTCTGAAATGTCTTTAGAGTCACGATGAGCAAAAAGACAGTGGCTATGTTTATTGATAGGATTTGTTTGTTTGCTTCTTGCCTTGCCTATGCACCTTTCTTGTTCATAATCTATTATGATTGTTCATGATATTGTGGCAGATCAATCATTTCCAAGAAATTCTTTCATGGATACAGTCCTCGAACAGGTAAAGCGTGTTTCACCAGTAGCTGAGTTCTCTCATTTCCTTTGAAATTTTACCTTTGTTGATGCATAGCCTCTCTTTCGCATTTCTATATGTCGCACAGAAAGAAAATGATTCAACAGAGTCTGCAGCACCACCGTATCGATCTCCTGCACAATTGTCTCTTTCACTGGCTTCACAACCATCTTCTTTTCCAGCGTCACCGCTTTCGTCACAGAGCTCTTTGCATCCTGCAAGTTCATCGACCGTTAAACTGACACAGCGCCCTCGTCTATCAAGGCAAGTCTCAGATGGTCAAATCTATGGAGTGAACTCACTAAGTAGAAGCTCAGCAACTAAAGAGAGGCAGGGGACTCCTGTGAGGTATGATTCTTTTCAGAGTGGACCATCTGAAGGTTTGTCACTGCAAGCCTTTTCTGAAATGATGTCATCTTCTCGCGGCGAAGAGCCTTTGTCTTATGATAATGGTTGCTTTGGGCTTCAACGTGACAAGTTAGACCATCATTTCAACCGAATCTCCAGTCATCAGCAGCAAACCTGTGGTGCTTGCTCTAGATCCTTGTCTGAGAAATCCTTGTGGAGCAGCCAAAAGATTTTTATGACCAACGAGCTCTCTGTTTCTGCAATTCTAGCTTGTGGGCATGTCTATCATGGTGAGTGTTTAGAACAGATGACGCCGGAGATCGATAAATTCGACCCTTCATGCCCAATATGTACATTGGGTGAGAAGAAAACGGCGAAGCTGTCAGAGAAAGCGTTAAAAGTGGAGATGGATTTGAAAGCTAGACACAACAAAAGACTCAGAAACCGAGTTTTGGACAGTGATTTTGATTGCGATGATTTTGTAATGTTTGATCACAGCTACAGGGCAGCAGCAGCAGGAGGCAAGAGCCCGAAACTGGTCTCGAGTTCGAGTGTCAAAAGCTATTCCGCAAAGCCTTTCTTGGCTCGGCATTTCTCTTTTGGGTCCAGAGGTAACAGTAAATGCACTAAAGAGATTCTTCCTGTCAAAAAGAAAGCCTTCTTCTGGACCAAATCCAGCAAAATATGAACTTGTAAGCCGCTCTTTCTCTCTCTCTCTCTGTGTATAGCGAATATACCAAATCATTGAATTACAAGTAAGACATTGATTGTGGTTGTTGTTTCAGATTCTGCGTTGCTCTGTACTGACTGACGCATAGAACTCGACACACACGGAGACGGTACCATTCAATTAAGACAGGCTATTTGTTGTTCCAAATGTCCTCGTACGCTTTTCTTTTATTTTATTGGTCACTAAATTTTCACACATGTAAAGTCACAAATTTAGAATACAAGGTTTGGGATTAAAAAAAAAAAAAAAAACACTGGATCATTTAGTCTATAAATTATTCTGGCTGTGCATAGATCAGAATTGGACTGAGAAGGCAAACGATTGGGTATGGTTTGTATTTACGTCTACCAGCTTGACCTCAGTCAAACTTATGTCTGTAAATATTGATTTGGTTCTCCTTTTTTATTGCTGGTTATCATATAGATATTAACAAGAACCTTTTTGTGAATGACATCATAGGTGAATGACATCATCATTTGTCTAGTAAAACTATTAAACAACCAACGAAGTTAGGGTAAAATATAAACGTTTTTTGAAACACCGATCGAGATGTCTTTTGTGAGAATTTTAAATTTAGTCCAGGAGAAAGTGATTCATGTCGGGATGAGTATGCTCGTATAAGAACACACATGTGCTTACGAGGCGATACACTAAGCATCTTCGTTCGCTATATTGGGGCACGTGTCTCATGACCATGCACATGAATACACAACAGATACGCATAACGTGTCCTTGAAAGACGCATATGTTTTGTAGCAACGTTGGATCGATTGAGAGAGCTGAGAAGGTTGTTAATTAGAATGGCTGATCTGAAGGACGAAAGAGGAAACCCGATCTACCTGGCCGACCAACACGGGAAGCCAGCTCAGCTGATGGACGAGTTTGGTAACGCGATGCACTTGACAGGTGTCGCAACCACCGTTCCTCACCTTAAGGAGAGCAGTTACACCGGTCCACACCCAATCACTGCCCCAGTCACCACCACCGATACTCCTCACCACGCACAACCTATCTCCGTGTCTCACAACCCTCTTGGAGACCATGATCTCCGCTGGTTCGGCATCTCCTCAGCTAACTCGGTAATATATACTTACATAGCATTCATACATACACTCTGTCTATTTATAGAACCTAGGTGCATATACATCTGAGCTATTACATAATTTAATCTGTATGTCTTTGAAGAAGACGGCGCTTATCCGTTTAATTAGCTTGCAACTTCCACGTATAATTCCTATCTCCATTTCATTTTATCTTATTTACATATGTGTTTCCATTTCATTTTTTTTGGTTAAAATGTATGAAACGGTTCTTATTATTACATTTGATCTCAGCCAAAAGGTTAGATAACGATATTGAAAATCCGATGTGTATATATATGTAGACGGATGAGGATGGTCAAGGAGCAGGGAGGACAAGTAATATAACGAACGAAACTAAATCAAAGGTAGGCGGGAACGAGTCATCAAGCGCGAGGACCGTATCTGTTCACGAACCGCACGTTAAGAAAGGTTTCTTTAAGAAGATCAAGGATAAACTTTTGGGCCACCACGACGACCCGTGAAAGCTTCCTTACGGATGGCGACGATGAAAACGGGCGTAGTTAGTCATGCTTTATTTTCTTTTAAATCATACAAATACTTTTTTTTTTTGTTAATAAAAGAAAAAATTCTTGCAATCACAATTCACAATCATGGTCTAAATTGCAACATGTTTGAATTATTTATTTGTACGGTCTTCTGATTTGCATAATCGTCATCTCTCTCTATTTAAACCCCGTCTTTTTTTTTTTTTTTGTCGTTAGTGTCTCGCTGTTTTCCGTCATTTCCCTCTCATTGCAAATGATAGCTCAGTCGCACTTGTTCTTCAAGTCCTTCGATCTGTTTCCGCCACCGTCTCCGGTGTTGCGGTCTCCGATTCGCTCTCTTCATCTCTTCTCTTCTTCTTCTTCGAAAAGCAGTCGATTATCCTTTCTCTCGTCTTCTGTAAGCGCTGTTCCGGTCTCCCGTGGCCAGATCTCCTTGACAATGGCCTCGAACTCGAAACGGCCTTTGGAACTAAGCGCCACCGATCTGGATCGATTCGCCTCTGTCGGAAATGCTCTGGCTGATGCTTCCGGCGAGGTTATTAGAAAGTATTTCCGGAAGAAATTTGACATTGTCGATAAAGATGATTTGAGTAAGTCTCGATTGTCTCTCTATTTTTTTGCCTAAGTAGTTTATTATATCAATGGATCTCTGCTCAGCTTGGCCATCTAATAGAATTTATGTTGAAAGCGGAATTTGATTGTTAAGCAACGAACTGGCCTAAGTGTGCTTACCAAATACTAAGAATCATAGATAACCTAATGTCATGCTTTTATATATCACTCAACTACCTCGTCGGCTAAATAATTTACAGCCTCTCAGTCATTTTTACTTTCTGAGAGTCCAACATATGTTCGTGTTTTTCTGATTTGGATCATCGGTAGGTCCTGTTACAATCGCTGATCAAATGGCTGAAGAGGCAATGGTTTCGATTATATTCCACAACTTCCCTTCTCATGCTATGTGAGTTTCCCTTTGAATATTTTTTTTCTTGATAAATTGACTCTGTTTCCTATATAGAGGAGGTGATCACAGAGGAATTTAGTTGTGACTTTTTTTTCCCTCCAAGAAAATGCCACATTGATTGCTCTCTTTCCTTGTTCTTCAGTAGATGAACAGATAAGAAAACTATGCTGTGTTTTTGTTCATATTTATTTACATTGCAAAAGCTGAATCTGTAGATATGGTGAGGAGAAGGGTTGGAGATGCAAAGAGGAATCTGCCGACTATGTTTGGGTTCTGGACCCAATCGACGGAACAAAGAGCTTTATCACAGGTCCACTCTTTGTTATAAGATTTCTTCATATCTATTGTCTTATCAAGAGTTTGAGGATTTGATTGTTCTATCAATTACTTCGTCTCAGGGAAACCCGTGTTTGGTACGTTGATAGCTCTGCTATATAAAGGTCAACCGGTAAGACACCAGACTATGTTGTTGTTTGCAAGCATCCTATGTTTGTGCTATGAACTATAAGCACATTCGGATGATCAGATTGGGAATTCATATCACCTAGGATATAATCTGTTTTGTGTTCATTGTAGGAGAGTTTTAAACATGCTAAACTTCTGACAGCGTTTAGGAACTTCTATGATTCTGAGGAATTGCATGTGGGCTTACTAACTGACTTTTTTTTTCCCATTCAGATTCTGGGTCTGATTGATCAGCCTATTCTAAAAGAGAGATGGATAGGAATGAGTGGAAGAAGAACTAAATTAAATGGGGAGGATATCTCAACGCGATCTTGCCCAAAATTATCACAAGCGTATTTGTAAGTTTGCGTTCGCTGAGCCATTCTAGCGTTCCTTCGGTAGTCAGCTTTTCAAAGAAATAGATATGTGATATGCCTTTTTAGTTTCGTGTTTCAAGAAGGCAAGAACCATTCTCATGAGTATACTCTTTAATCTCACATTTTGTTCTTCTCATATTTGGACTGTCCAGATACACCACTAGCCCGCATCTTTTCAGTGGAGAGGCAGAAAAGGCATATGCTCGAATTAGAGACAAGGTCCGTACTTATTTCTCTAAGGAATATAGTTAAATTGGCATTGTTTCTTGGTTGGAGGATAGTACAGGCAAATGAAACCTATTTGAGACCTCCTTATGAGACTTTGAAGTGCTGCATAATAACAAATCTCACAATGATCAGTATATCAATTGAGTTTCTTATCTAATTGGTTTTCATATGGGATTCCTGAATAGCTTCCCTTCTGGCTTGTCAAAATTTATCATAACAGGTAAAGATGCCATTATACGGCTGTGATTGTTATGCTTACGCTCTTCTGGCTTCTGGTTTTGTCGATCTTGTTATTGAATCCGGTCTAAAGGTAAAACCGCTTTCAGAATGACTTGCCAAAAGTAAATGCCCCATATACTGTATCAATTTTTCAACTGGTAGTGTCCGTTCACATCATACTAATTGAAGTCAATGTTATTGTTCCCCAGCCATATGATTTCCTTGCTCTGGTTCCTGTAATAGAAGGCGCTGGAGGTACCATAACCGATTGGAACGGTAACCCACTTCTGTGGGAAGCTTCTTCCAGTGTAGTTGCTACAAGTACGTTCAATACTCCACAAAACTCTGTTTCTTGCTCTTCTTACATAGATTCTTGATCTCAATCACAGACTCAGAAAAACAAAAGATCACGTAACACCTGAATGTGGAACAGTTTAACATCTCCATCTATGTTTCTTTGGTCACAGGCTTTAATGTTGTTGCAGCTGGAGATCCAGACATTCATCAGCAAGCATTGGAGTCACTTAAGTGGCAGTGAAAAGCTTTCGCTGGTGCATTAACTTGTCTACTTTAAGTGTCTTCATAATTTTCATGCTTCATTACGATCACTTCGTTCATATTTGCTTGTTTTGATAAAAGAACTGATAGTGATGTTATAATCTACCTGGTTAGAGTTTTAGGTTTAGTTTTTTTTGTTTTCTTGAAATAGGAAACCAGAGTTATTTTATTTTTGGCGTTGTGTCTAAATTGTCTAGAAAACAGAATTAGCAATTTGCTAAAAATAGAGCATTGAATATCAGCGGTGATCATATCCTCCACCAGATTACAGCATACTCCAAAGACTGGCCACACATATAACAACTCACCATTTCTCTCTTTCATGACCTTTTTTCCTCCCTCTTTTCTTCAACCACAAGCTATCCAACAAACTTCCTCATTCCTTATTATCTTTGTTCTTCTTCACCCCTCTCTCTTCTCTCTCTCCTTCCCACCCAGGAGGGATGGAGATAAGAAAGAAACCAAACATATGCACGATTCCCATCTTTGATATCTCTCCAAAGCCTTCCATGGCTCTCCTCCTTGCTATTGTCCTCGTCCTCTCAGGCCCTGCTATTTCTGCGGTAGCCGCCGCAGCTGTGAAACCCGCTGCCGGTTTTAAACCGGCAGATGATATTCTGATTGATTGTGGAAGCAAATCGTCATCCAAAACCCCTGATGGAAGAGTCTTCAAGAGTGACCAAGAGACGGTCCAATACATAGAAGCCAAGGATGATATTCAGGTCTCGGCCCCTCCTTCAGACAAGGTCGCTTCTCCTATCTACCTAACTGCAAGGATCTTCCGTGAGGAAGCCACCTACAAATTCCATTTGACCCGACCAGGTTTTCATTGGGTTCGCCTCCATTTCTTGGCCTTCCCTAATGACAAGTTTGATCTCCAACAAGCAACTTTTTCCGTTCTAACGGAGAAATATGTGCTGCTTCATAACTTCAAAATAAGTAACAACAACAACGATAGTCAAGCTGTTCTCCAGAAGGAGTACCTCGTCAACATGACGGATGCACAATTCTCCCTCAGGTTCAGACCTATGAAAAGCTCTGCAGCGTTCATCAACGCCATCGAAGTTGTCTCAGCTCCGGACGAGCTGATCTCTGATTCCGGCACCGCCCTTTTCCCAGTCAACGGATTCTCGGGTCTGTCTGACTACGCTTACCAGTCCGTTTACAGAGTCAATGTTGGTGGTCCCTTGATCATGCCACAGAATGACACATTAGGAAGAACCTGGATACCTGATAAAGAATTCTTGAAAGATGAGAACTTGGCTAAGGACGTCAAGACGACCCCTTCCGCAATCAAGTACCCTCCTGGAGTTACACCTTTGATTGCTCCACAGACTGTTTATGCTACAGCTGCTGAAATGGCTGATTCTCACACCATAGCTCCTAATTTCAACGTCTCCTGGAACTTCCCCTCCAACCCGTCCTTTCACTACCTCATTCGGCTTCATTTCTGTGACATCGTTAGCAAGTCTCTCAACGACCTCTACTTCAACGTCTACATTAACGGGAAAACTGCCATCTCTGGGCTGGATTTGTCCACCGTCGCAGGGGATCTCGCAGCTCCTTACTACAAAGACATTGTTGTGAACGCGACACTTATGAGTCCTGAGCTACAAGTCCAGATTGGTCCCATGGGAGAAGATACAGGTACCCAAAACGCGATCTTGAACGGAGTGGAGGTCTTGAAGATGAGCAATTCCGTGAACAGCCTTGACGGAGAGTTTGGAGTTGATGGTAGAACCACTGGCATGGGGAAACATGGTATGGTTGCAACCGCGGGGTTTGTGATGATGTTTGGAGCTTTCATTGGCCTTGGAGCCATGGTTTACAGGTGGAAGAAGAGGCCACAAGATTGGCAGAAGAGAAACAGTTTTTCCTCTTGGTTGCTACCGATACACGCTGGTGACAGCACTTTCATGACAAGCAAAGGTGGTTCTCAGAAATCCAACTTCTACAACTCAACTCTGGGGCTTGGCCGCTATTTCTCCCTTTCGGAGCTTCAAGAAGCCACAAAGAACTTCGAAGCATCTCAGATTATCGGTGTTGGAGGATTCGGTAATGTCTATATTGGAACCCTCGACGATGGGACCAAAGTTGCTGTCAAGCGAGGTAACCCACAGTCTGAACAAGGAATCACTGAGTTTCAGACAGAGATTCAGATGCTTTCTAAGCTCAGACACAGACACTTGGTCTCCTTGATCGGTTACTGTGATGAAAACTCGGAGATGATCCTAGTCTATGAGTTCATGTCCAATGGTCCATTCAGGGATCATTTGTACGGAAAGAATCTTGCTCCCCTAACCTGGAAGCAGCGACTTGAGATCTGCATCGGATCTGCTCGTGGGCTTCACTATTTACACACCGGAACAGCACAGGGGATTATCCACCGTGACGTCAAATCAACCAACATTCTTCTCGATGATGCTTTAGTTGCCAAAGTCGCTGACTTTGGTCTTTCTAAAGATGTAGCCTTTGGACAAAACCATGTCAGCACGGCCGTGAAGGGAAGTTTCGGGTACCTAGACCCCGAATACTTTAGAAGACAGCAACTTACCGATAAATCCGATGTTTATTCCTTTGGTGTCGTTCTTCTAGAAGCTCTCTGCGCAAGACCAGCCATCAATCCTCAGCTACCAAGAGAGCAGGTTAACTTAGCTGAATGGGCAATGCAATGGAAACGAAAAGGACTGCTCGAGAAGATCATCGATCCTCATTTGGCTGGAACGATCAATCCTGAATCGATGAAGAAGTTTGCAGAAGCTGCTGAGAAGTGTTTGGAAGATTACGGTGTTGATAGACCGACAATGGGAGATGTTCTGTGGAACTTGGAATATGCTCTGCAGCTTCAAGAGGCATTCACTCAAGGCAAAGCCGAGGAGGCTGAGAACGGTAAGGCAGTGACACCTGGCTCGGTGCCGCCGGCTGCTCCATCTCCGATCGCTCCTTCAGCCACCACCAACGCGGCGGCGGCTAGTGTTCAAGTTTCTTCTAAGGTGGAAGAGAACAATGGCATAGCCGAGGTTCAGGCCGTTGACGAACATTCTGGAACAGCCATGTTTACTCAGTTTGCTAACCTTAATGGAAGATAAAACAAACTGACAGAGAACTAAATTTTTAAAAAAGAAAAAAGGAACGCCAAAACGAGTTTGTTGTCATAACAGTAATTGAAATAGAAAAAAAAAAATATGACTTTGAAGGTGATATATTGTTTGTTTCTCTTTATGTTTTTTATGGTGGTTCAGGGGATGTGTGTGAGCTTTATATTTTTGGTGTGTATTTTCTGAAATTTATCTTCTTTTTTTTGTTTTGTATGAATTGTAACTTGTGGGTGGATATGTATAGTCATGTATACTACTAAATGCTCTGATGCATTTATCTACTTGTCCTCCTTTATTGCAGTTGTTAATATTAGGTTACAAGTACAACTTCACTTGGATACTTAATTGTATGTGAATCTTCTTATCAAATTTAGACCATTGTACGCATAGAAAACAAGTGTTCTTTTTTTGTATTCGAAGAAGTTGCTAGTTTTACAGTCTGCACATCTTTCCCAGAATAGACTTAAGGATTAGAATAAAGTTTAGATCAATTTTTGTTTTTTGCGGATGAACTCCTCTCTAAAGATGGTGTCTTAACTGGGGGACAATTTGTTTTTTCTCCCAAAGTTCTAAAACAAACAGATTGGTAACCCGATTCTTTAATTTTGTTGTCTAGTATAAACTCTAGTTAAAGCTGTCACGTTTCAACCTTAATTACTTAAATTAGGGAAATATCCTCAATGTTTTGTGTGTTAATAACTACTGGATTCAATCTTTGATTCTTATTAATTGGAATGAGTGTTTGGTCTGCAACCTCTGTCAGATAATGGTCACAGAAACCATTTCTTTCTTTAGATGAGCTGTTTAGTCTAACCATCTACTCAATGTAGAAAGTCGAAACCCTGCAATATTTTGTATTAGATTAATCGAAAAATGTTTGGATATCAATCAAAATCGTCACAAGTGTTTGTAGGAGAGGAAGTATAGGTGAGAAAAGAATAGGGTCAGTCACAGATTCTGCAAAAAATAAGAGAACCATGAACGCAGAATAAAATATATATCCAGAAATAGAAACCATTCCCTTCAATTAAGCAAATGGTTTCTCTTCTTCTCTTTCCTTTTCCTTCAATTAAGCTATATAAACTAATGAATAGCTTAAATTTTTCCCACAAAAGCCAAAAGAGACCCAATTTTTTGGCCCTTGTTTTTGTTTTTGTTTTCTCTTTCTTTATCTCTCACTATCCTACTATAAACTATGGAAAACATAAGTGGGCTGATGGCTTTTGACATGGGAGAGCTAAGAAATAACCTTCCCAAAAAGTAAAACATTAAGATTATCTCATTGATTATCTTCTTGTTTCGATTATAGATTCCTGGATTACTATTTAATTTTGGATTTTGTGAATGGTGATAAAAATAGGAGAGGATTGTCAAGGTACTATTCAGAGAAAGCAAGATCATTCGCTTGTATCTCAGATGTTAAATGTCTTGAAGATCTCAAGAAACCAACCCAACATCTTGACGATGATGATGCCTACAAGAAGAGGAAGAAGAAGAATAAGCAATCATCTTCTTCTTCATTTTCTGCTGCTGTTAACAGCAATGTTAATTTCCAAAACTACCCTTGTCGAAGAGTCTCTAGTAGCACCCACTGTTCCTCGCCTTGTGTTGGTGCTTAGGAAAAAAACACACTTTCTCAATTGATCACAAATCTTCATTCAAGGCCCAATTGGTTTTTCCCAACCCAATAGTCAAACACAAACTTCTGTTTTATCACTAATTTTTATTTTCTTTAGTCTAATGTTTTTGTCGTTATCTTTTTTCTTAAAATTTTTATAGTTATGCACAAGAAAGAGTGTTGGTAATCCTTTTGAATGTAAAATTATTTGCTGATAAAAAGTGAATAAGTAAATAAAAAGAGAATTTTTGTAGAAGATCAAGGTGATCAGGAAGAATTAAATGTAAAAATGAAGAAATATTTGGAAATGTTCATTGTTTTAGATATGTTTTAAATCAATATAGATCGTGTGAGTACTGTCTCCTTAACCTTACTTGAAAGTTGAAAATCTTTTTGTGTGTGTGTGTGTGTCCCACATATCTACAAGTATAAAATATTAAGATAGTCGTTAGGTCTTATTTTTCTTCTCAAAACATGCCACATACATTTGAAGACAAATTCAAGACAAGTCATAATGAGTAACTGCTTACGTGGCTAATTTTACATGATTCACGACATTGGGAGCGCGATAAAGGCGCGTAGGGAACACGCACTCCCATTAGTAGCTGACGTGGTCAATTGACTATCTGACATTATCTTTACCCTTTCTCTCCCGTGCTTTTATTTTTATTCACGATCCTACCATTCTTCTCCCAATCGTACGCTGCTGAGAACCCATGTACTTGTTCTTACCGTACTCCGCGTTTCATGTGATTATGTCTCATGGTATTGTGATTTTTCGCCATTCGTTGTCCACTTTGAGAAAAATGATCGCAAGAATTTTCCCTCACTTTCTCGAGAAGAAAATCTCTGCGTCTTTCTCGCCCTTCACCTTCAGATGCCCAAGCAAAAAGCTCCAAAGAAGCAACTCAAGTCCTATAAATTGAATCACATCAATAGGACGATTCAAGGTATGTTTGATTTCTTCCCTCGGAAATTTCCTTTGGTAAATCGTAAATTAAAAGGGAATCGCTGTTGCATATGGTTTTTGGCTTGAAGAGGGAGATGCTGTTTTGATGCGGTCGTCGGAGCCGGGAAAACCATCTTACGTGGCGAGAATTGAGGCAATCGAGACGGGGGCGCGTGGATCGCACGCGAGGGTCCGTGTGAGGTGGTATTACCGGCCGGAGGAATCAATCGGAGGGAGGAGACAGTTCCATGGAGCCAAGGAGGTCTTCCTCTCGGACCACTACGACCTTCAAAGCGCCGATACGATCCAGGGCAAGTGTAAGGTCCACAGTTTCAGTAGCTACACCAAACTCGACTCCGTCCGAAACGACGACTTCTTCTGTCGTTTCGAGTACAATTCCGCCACCGGCGCTTTTAATCCCGACAGAGTCGCCGTGTATGTGTCTCTTAGACTCTCGCTTTCCATTTTCATTATGTTACTATTATCAGCTAAGGTGGCTCTGAATGGAGAACGATTGGGACAACTTATAAAATTGTTTGGTTTAATTTATGCTTCAGTGTGCTAGTGTAGGCTTTGATTGTTATTCTTTAACTTCTATGGAAAAAAACGGCATTTTTCACGGTTTCATTAAATTGTTTCTGCAAAGTGAAGTAATCAGTTGACTCAGGATGCTTTCTTTTGACTTTTGCAATCTAAAATGATTGTTTGTTGTTTCTACAGATTCTGCAAGTGTGAGATGCCGTACAACCCTGATGACTTGATGGTGCAATGCGAAGATTGTTCGGAGTGGTAAGTGTTCACTTGCTTGAAACTCTTTTTAATCTTCTTGACTCGCAAGCTGGAATTGCTCATTTATTTCAAGTGTATTCCATGAGTCCTAGTGGATATGCTATTGAGATTGCTTGAGATGAATGGCATCCGTCATGGCTTTACGTTGGCGATGTTATTCCGGTGATGAATGGCAACAAAAGCTGATACCCTTGTCTTAACGCTTATAATAACTGTGATGGGGATTCTAATGTATATGTTGTGGAACCTTGTAATCTTACAAGTTGCTGATGGAGTCGCTGTTAAGAATCTTGCTTGGGGTTTTTCTGCAGCTATTTAGTCTGTCGCTTGGGTCTTTCACTCATATTAGCGTGTTGTATTTGACAAGAAGTAAAACGAATGAAGTCACTCGAACAAATATTTGATCTCTTGATCATGGAGCTGTTAAGCTACTACTTTTTTTTTTTTTAAATTACATAAAGAGAATTTTGTTGTGAATGTCTTTGTCTGTTATTTTGTTGCCTTTGATGTTACAGGAAACTAACATTGGCTCAGGTTTCATCCTTCTTGTATAGGGACGACAATAGAGGCAGCTAAAAAGCTTGATCACTTCTACTGCCAAGAGTGTTCCCCAGAACAGCAGGATTTGGACAACTCTAATTCAACTTCTAAAAAATCAGACGATAAGGTATCAATCGATCTCTGCAAATATCTGTATTTCTCTGAGGTTGGTCAAAACAGTCACAATTCTGCTGTACCACGGCCTGGCCGGTTAAATTCGGGATTCAATTTTGACACGGTCCATATAGGACCAAACCTGTCAACAATGATAAGCTTTTGGACCAATATACTAGAACAACATATAAAGACAGAAAACTCCTGAGTGCAAAGTATATCTCTCTATAAAGTTAAAAGACAAGCTTTTGATTTGTTGGTTCAACAAACAGGTGAAAACAAAACGCAGCTTAGAGGTAACCAAGACGAGGAACAAACATACCAAACGATCAGGTTAACATAAGACCTCTAAGTTCTTTCTCTGGACTGAGTTGAGTATCAACGTGTAATCTATAAAGGTGTTTGTGTTCTTTCCCTTTGTTTTTTTTTACCTGAAGAACGAGGGTTTTAGTTCGTTGGCTTGATTGGTGACTTTCTTGTGGTATAAATATAATCTTATGTATAGTATATGGTTTCATCTCCTTTAGTTGTCACAAATTGAGTGAAACGTTTGTTTACAGGTTACTTTTTCTTGATTATTCAAATTTCATCCAACAACCACGAGATATTACAATTTCGAGTACACTATTTATTTTCATGATACTGGTAACATAAACAAGAAAAATTAAACGTATAACGTGTTACAAAGAAAACAAGAAAACAAAATAAATAAATCAGAGAAGACAAGTATTGCAACTAACGTTCCACTTTTGTCGCCAGGAAGTGGAATAAAACTAGTATTTTTTAGGTGTAACAAAAATTTAAAAATAATTAAAAAAAAAAACGGAATTCATTTTCTACAGCACGATACGGCTCCGCTACAAGTTGAGCCTATCTACTGGAAGGTCATTCAATTCTAACACGTGGAGGTATATCAGTCGTCAACTAACTTTTCCCCTTGGATAAGTAATCTCTTTAACCCAGAAAATATCTTCCGGCTTCTTCGACAATAATATAATAATGATATCCTAATAATAAAATATACTTTATTTTGAAAGAAACCGAAAGCCAATCTCCAAAGGGAAAAAGACATCTAGCTTTCTATACATACACCTATACATTCACGTTGCGTGTTTCACCCCCTTTAGCCTTAGCCCTTAGGGTTCTATATTAATCCCTTTCCCTTCCTCTCTGATTTCTTCAATCGAAATCCATGGATCCTCTTAAGCTTTCTTTCTCCGTTTTCGTTCTGCTTATCTTATTCGTCTCCGTTTCTTCGGGGATTGTCGCTGAGACGTCGTCCTCGGACGGCGATGATCTCGTGATCCGGCAGGTGGTTGATGGAGCCGAGCCCAAGGTTTTGTCGTCGGAGGATCACTTTTCTCTGTTCAAGAGGAAGTTCGGCAAGGTTTACGCCTCGAGCGAGGAGCATGATTACAGGTTGTCGGTTTTCAAGGCGAATCTCAGGCGAGCGAGGCGTCACCAGAAGCTGGATCCGTCGGCTCGTCATGGTGTTACGCAGTTCTCAGATCTGACTCGTTCTGAGTTCCGGAAGAAGCATCTTGGTGTCAGAGGCGGGTTTAAGCTTCCCAAGGACGCCAACAAGGCTCCGATTCTCCCCACCGAAAATCTTCCCGAGGATTTCGACTGGAGAGATCGTGGCGCTGTTACTCCCGTCAAGAATCAGGTATTGTTTGTACTCTCGTGGTTCTAATTCGATGACCGTGTGTTTGTCTATCGATTGGAAATTAGATCAGCTTCAATTTGTATAATCTGATCGGATTTCAAGTCACTCTGCTTCGAGGATTCGTTTCTTTGTTTCATGTATCTGATTGGGACTCTTGTTCGTGTACCATTAGGGATCTTGCGGCTCTTGCTGGAGTTTCAGTGCCACCGGAGCTCTCGAAGGTGCTAACTTCCTCGCTACCGGCAAACTCGTCAGCCTTAGCGAACAACAGCTCGTCGACTGTGATCACGAGGTTTGACTTTTGTTCCAGTTACCTGAGCATAAACGACTTGGATAATCTAAACAGTGTCGGTTATGTTTGATCACTAATCAATATGTTATACAAGATGTCCATTGTTTTGTCGGTGTTTATTTGGATAATTAAGATGATAGAACTCACTGCTTAGTTCCGGTTGTTTAATTTAACTTATCTTGTCTCTCATCATTGCCTGTAGCATAGATTCATAATTTTAGCTGCAATTAGTCGATGATCGTCGATAACATCTCTATCTGCAGTGTGATCCAGAAGAGGCAGGTTCATGCGACTCTGGTTGCAATGGTGGGCTAATGAACAGCGCATTTGAATACACCCTCAAAACAGGAGGGCTCATGCGAGAGGAAGACTACCCTTACACCGGAAAGGATGGCCCGACCTGCAAGTTAGACAAGTCCAAGATCGTTGCCTCTGTCTCCAACTTCAGTGTTATCTCCATTGATGAAGACCAGATTGCTGCAAACCTTGTCAAAAACGGACCACTTGCAGTAGCCATCAACGCGGCCTATATGCAGACTTACATTGGAGGAGTCTCGTGCCCTTACATATGCGCCAGGAGGCTCAACCACGGTGTCTTATTGGTGGGTTATGGCTCGGCCGGTTATGCTCCGGCTAGGTTCAAGGAGAAGCCTTACTGGATCATCAAGAACTCATGGGGAGAGTCTTGGGGTGAGAATGGTTTCTACAAAATCTGCAAAGGCCGTAACATTTGTGGCGTTGATAGTCTCGTCTCCACCGTTTCAGCCACCGTCTCTACCACCGCCCATTGATTAACCCTCGTTTATAATTTAATTTACTTTGGTGATTTGTGTGAGCGAGTACTCTTTGCGTTACTCTCTCTATTTCTCTCTGCTTTTAAAAAGAAAGATCATGTTTGTAAATAAAATGCATTTCTCTTGAGCCAAGCCATACATTTTGCTCACCGCTGGTTGAGATTTTTCTTAGTTTAAACTAAGACCCGCAATGCTATCATCTGGGCCTATAAACATTTTAAGGTACAATAGGACATTTGGCAAGGCCCAAAACTATGGGCCATTCTGTGTAGGCCCACAAACTTTGGGCCATTCATATCGGCCCACGAACAATGGGCCATTTAGTAAAGGCCCACAAACAATGGGTAGGCCAACAAACTATGGGCCATTTGTGTAGGCCCTCGAACTATGGGCCATGTTATGTAGGCCCACGAACTATGGGCCTTAACTTGATATATCCTTTACGAAGCCCATTAAAAATAATAATGTATGGGCTTATAAAAGTTCGCTATTGGGCCTGATGGGCTGAAAAGAGTTCGCTATTGGGCCTAATGAGCTTACAAAAGTTCGCTATTGGGCCGAATGGGCTTAAAAAATGGGCCTTAGTAAATTAATTTATTCCATTTAAAGCCCATTAAACCTATTATATATGGGCTTTTAAAAGTTCGATATTGGGCCATTATTTAGTTTAATAGGCCTACAGAGAGTTTATCAATATGTGCGTCCACGAATTATGGGCCTTAATAAACTAGTTTATTTTCTGCTAAGCCCATTAGACCTATTATATATGGGCCTTTAAAAGTTCGCTATTGGGTCATTATTTAGTTTAAAGAACTTGTAGGCCCACTAACTATGGGCCGCTCTAAGACCATTATAATTATATTTTATGGGCTTTAAAAATTCGTTATGGGGCCATTATGTCGTTTAGTAGGCCTACAACTATTTTCATAATTGTGGGTCCACGAACTACAAGTATTAATAAACATTTAAATAGATGAACTTAATAACGATTTTAGCAGGCAAAGTAATGCTGGAAAAGGTCCGATTCCTCATTTTATTATTTGTATCAACAGCTTATTATTATTATTTAAATTCAAACAAACACAACAACAAAATGGGTTTTGCCTCGCACAAATCCCATTATCCCCTCTCCTTTTCTGTGTAGTAAAAAATCTATCTCCACAGAGGCAAATAAATAAATTTAACTGACCCTCAATACGGAGACAAGGGGAGAACAAAAATAATAATAATTCGATTCTGAATAAAAGTAGTCTGTACCTTTATATATATGCAAATTGCAGAGGATGAGAGGAATGAATGAGATATCATCATCATCATCCATCACTCGTCTTCGTTTGCGGCGAGAATGAAAGTGAAAGGAGCGAACTTGTAACCATCTCCTTCGTAAAATTTGTTCTGAAACTCAACCCAGTGGAGACGCAGCGCGTGAAGGAACGCGCTCAGTGTCTCCATCACCAGCAGCACTCCCACGGTCGCGAATATGAAGACGATTATCCCGACGATCAGGATCAAAACATTGTTGTAACTGTTTTGTTGTGTTTTGTTATTAGTGCCAAAAAGATCTCGATTAAGGGATTTGCTAATTAATATAAGGGTCACATATGTTAATCAAACCAAAGAGAGAGCGAGAGAGTGAGAAAGGATGCATACCCCCAAGCGAGAAGGAGGACCTTCTCATAGAAGACCGATGATAGCTCTGAGTGGGCTAGACTGAAACATAAAGGATTGGATATTAAGCCATGAATAGCTTCATGTTTAGCTCCTACTACTCGATGATAATGAGATTACCTGAGAGCCCATAGACGCAGGTAAGAAGCGGTGTTGGAAACAGCTCCAAGCACAAACTCTATGGTGTGAATCAGCTGATGCACAAATATCTCGCTGAATTCAAACTCCTCATGGCCATGGGACCCTCCGCTTGTCTCTACATGAAGACTTTCATCTGTCTCGTCAAGAGGAGCGTAAGACTGGCCTTGATGCCTCTGGAGAAGGAAACCGTTTAGGAAGACGACCAGCAAAAGGAAAAACAAAAACAAAACAAAACCTTTATATATAGAAACGAAAAGGAAAAAAGGAAAGAATCTCACAGCTTCATGTTGTTTCTTCAAGATGAACGGCTTTGGAAGCAACATACACGGAACAGAGACAAGAGCCAGAAAGAGAAGCGCAAGCTGAAAAATGGGAAAGAAAGAGGATGAGTGAAACAAAACGTATGACATGCTTTTTTTAGATCTCGTAACAGCAATTGCTAGGCGAAGATCCTAACCTGCACTGTTTTCTGGTGAGGGAAAAGTTGATTCTCTCCTAACTCATCGGTTGGGCTCAGGAACATGTATATCATTACATGATACAAATCTGCTTGAGAACCAGTGCACCACTTTATGATGATGAGGACGGAGAGATAGCCAAACAAGCTGTTCAAGAATATCATCTGGGGAATGAACTGGAACCTGCAAGCCCCCAAAATTAGACGTTGAGATGATGACTGATAGAATTTGAAGGAGAGCACGCTATGGTCAGATAATATCAAACTGAGCCTACCATATATTTACACTCGATTTAAAAAATCTTGCATTGAAGTAGCTCATTATGATTCCGAGGTTCATTTGAGAAACTCCGAGAAGGATAGACATTTTCATCTTCAGCGAGTTCAGGAACGGCAGCTCGCTACGGGTACCATGCCACACAGGATCTAGACCAAATGGATAAGTGTCCCGGACCTTTATCAAACCAATTGTTGTAGCCTCGCTGAACAGAGAGGAAAAGAGAGAGGAAAAAAAAACTCAGAACTGCAAAGTATCTGCCAGCTACTCATATTTTTTTGAATTTAGAAAAATCTTAACTTATAGAACTAA